TGTGTGTGTGTGTGTGGTGTGTGTGTGTGTGTATGGTGTGTGTGTGTGTATGGTGTGTGAGTGTGTGTGTGGTGTGTGTACATGTGTGTGTATGGTGTGTGTGTGTGTGTGTGTGTGTGTGTGGTGTGTGTGTGTGTTTAATAGAGGAAAGACAGAAAAGAAAGGGAGTCTGGTTTTTACTGTTGCTTCCCCGTGACACACCTTCCCAGGGGAAGTTTACAATGGGTCATCTGGAGGGACCATGGGATGTTTCTCGGGAAATTTTTGCTCCATTCTTATTTCATTGAAGACACAACCCCCCAAACAGTGACAGACAGTGCTTAAGATGAGAACGCAGAGACAATGGCCATTAGAAGTATTGTTTTGTGCATTTCTAATTATGCTTGCTTTTCCAATTCCAGCCTCTTTATTTTTTTGTTTAATTCTAAGATAATGTGGCACTCAGACCTTTCACTAACACATACATACAAGGACAATTTTGCTTTATTGTCTATTTTTAAGGATTGTTCCGTCTCATGTGTTCTAATGCTCAAAGAAGTTCTGGCCTCTTGTGCTAAGAAATGTTTAAAAGCAGCAACTACACAAACACCATTTGGTGAAGTCAGATTTTATCATAACTGATCAATTTAAAACAGAAATGGAAAATCAACAATTTGACGGTTGAGACATTGGCAGAAGGTCATGGGATAATCACCTTTTTTCTTGTTATTGGTGGCTTTGGTAGATGCCCTGCCTGAAAGAGAGAAAAGGTCGATCAATGATGTGATGATGGGCCCTTATTTTTGATTTTTGAGGGTGGTATTTCTGACTGCCTTCCAGATCTTTCTACCTGGATGTCTCACTGTCAACTCAAACTCAGGGTGTCTTCGTGGAGGTCATTTTCCATGTTCCCCAGGGATTGAAGGACATTTAGGCTCTTCCTCTGGCCACATGACCTCTACAGCCAGCCCAGTGACTGTTGGGTCTCATTGCTTCCAACTTCTCGACACACCCAGGAGCCGAGCTTCCGGCCATCCCTTCTGTACTGTAGGATGCCCTGTTCTACACTGTTCCTTGTCAGAGCTCATCTCCTTTAAGACCAAGCTCGGTGCAGATTTTTCTATGCAAGTTTCCTCAACCTCAGAGCTTTCCGGAGACGACCATCCCATCCCCAGCTACTGGAGCTGTGTCTGTTGGTGCCTCCTGTTCCACCAGCGGCACTTCAGTCCTGCTCTCAATGTGTGGCCTTAATCCTGGCTAAGGGCTCAGACATTGGATGCCCTCCTAGGTTTGTATGCTGCTCAGTAAATATTTGCTGAGAGCAGACCTTTTCTTTACTTGTGCCACAAGTAAAGGTCACCTGGGATGTACGCAGAGGCAAAACACACGCAGGTGTTCATCTGCAACAGAGACCTGTTCCTGTTTCCTCCATGTTGGCAGCTGATGTAGGAGGAAAGGAGTTATTTTAAAATGCATTTTATTTATACTCTTTTTTTCAAGAGTAAATTTGAGGGGGCTGGGCTGTCTTGCTCAGTACTAGAGTGTTTGTCTTGCCTCCTCAAGGTCCTGGTTTTTCTTCCCAGCATCTCTCTCTGTCTCTGTCTCTGTCTCTGTCTCTCTCTCACTTTCACCCAATGATTGTTAAAGAATCAATTTGATGTGGCCCATCAAAAGAGATGTTGTTGAAATATTCTGTCACCAGGAACTACCCACACAGATGCATTATTTTCGGGTAGGTAATGGGTGACTTTTAACATTGGCCCTCCAGGTTTAAGGACACTTTCTCCCTCCACCTTAAGTGACTTTCATGTGACCAGATCTCACAGTTCATTCGTGGCAGAGTCCCGGCCACAGGGTGCCATCCTGCCTTCAAGGACATGAGTGCACGTGCTTAGAGGGCCTCGGCCAGCCGAGGTACCGCCTCAGTGGCACGTCGCAAGGACACTCGCATGATGACCTGAGCAAGGGGATGGCGGTGGGCTTCGGGACACCGACACTCTGCGGAGCCTGGTGTCGATGTGGGTGGGCCTTTGATGGAAGCCATTTGTCACAGAATACCTCTATCAGTTCTTTCAGGGTCCACCCGTGGCAGCGCAGGCTTAGCTTCCAGTTCTTGGCTGCTGCGTGGTTTCCTCTGATCTCAAAGTCCCTGGGGGTGAGCCATTTTCCATCCTCAGTCCTTATGCTCCTCATCTGGGCCCCTGCAAGACCAAGGCAAGCTGAGCTCCCGGCCAGGAAGCTCTGCAGTGGACCTCCCTCACGCCGGGCCCGGGCTGCTGTGGGTCAGGGAACGGATTCCTCTCAGACATCAGGGACCCCAGTCCAGCCCGGAAGGCAAGGACAGAGGGGGACCGCCCTCATGGTGTGTGTTTCTTTGACCTTCATGTGATGAAAGGAATAATTACCACTGATGTTACCTTCTTAAAGTGTTTTGTTCCATCAAAAGAGAAAAAAAAATGAATGATCCTAAATCATGAGCAAGATTATTTCTTCCCCTTTCTCTACGCCTCAGGGTGGAACCAGCCTGGGATTCAGAAAGTCTGATGAAGGCACAAAGCGCCTGCTGAGATCCTGCGAACCCAGGTGGCCATGTCAAAGTTGTCACTACATCTGCCTCATCTTGTGCAACACCTTCTTCCTGCTAATGACCACTGATGATTTCTCGTATTTGGATTCATGGCTATTTGATGTGATTATGGAAGTGTTATGGAGGAAAACGTTAAATCACACATAGGCAGTAGAGTCACAGGGCAAACACCGATACCTGGTACCCACAGAACTGTATTGTGGGAGGGAGGATCAATTAGGAGAGATGAACATTCATGCTACACTTTAAATTATAATTGGCAAAGCCTATTATCTCTTTTTTCCCCTCATAATAATATGGTGAGGGAAATTTTATTATTCTGCTTTTGTAGAGGAGGAAGTTCAGGGTCAGAGAGACTGAGCACCTTGATGCTGATGATACAGATGCTCTCTACCATGGTTTGGATATACTTAGAGTGTGTTTCCCAAGGGCTCAGGTGTTGAAGGCCTGGTCCTTACTATGGTGATGTCAAAGGTGGTGAGACCTTTAAGAGGTGGGGCTGCTAAGACGTCCTTAGGTCACTGAAGCTGTTGCCTGGGAGTACTTAAGGTAGTTGCTATGGGACCCCAATCACTCTCTAGTTTTCCTATCTTGTGATGTGATCTCTTTCCCTACTAGAGACTTCCACCATGATGTCATCTTACCATTAAGCCATCACCAAGGGCCAAACACAGGAGGATGTCAGCTCTTGGACTTCAGACTTTGAAACTATGTGCTAAATAAACCTTTTTCCTTATAAACTATCCTGCCATGGGTATTTCATTATAGTAATGAAAAATAAACCAATAACCTGTTGGTATAGCTAAAACTTGAATGAAGGTTTTCTTTAAAGTCCTGTGCTCTTCCTACTTAAAGCTGAACAAATGTTACAAGAAACAGCCCCGGGAAGGTTGATGTTGAATTTCTCACATGTACACATTTTCCACCAGGTGTTGAAATGTTTCTCACTGCATCGGGTGCTAGATGGGCATCCTGTGGGCCTTTTTCATGAGTGAAAGGGTAGATGGCTTGGTAGGGTAAAGTTGTATGAATTTTACAAGCGTGAAAATGCCACATTACTGCAGCCTATCTGGGATGTTGTGCCGTAGAGACTTAATACCAGAGAAGATCCTTCTATCCTGGGGCTGGGGTTGTGGCTCACCAGTAGAGCACTTGCCAAGCACATGCAAGGCCCTGGGTTCGACTCCTCAGCACCACATAAAAATAAATAAATAAAGGTATTGTGTCCAACTCAACTAAAAAATAAATATTAAAAAAAAAAAGAAACTTCTATCCTTAGAGAGGCTTACTTGCAAGTTGGACCCCTGGCTGGTATCTGGGAATATGGATCTTGGAAGCAATTCTACCATTACCCAGAACTGATGAGATGCCTCACCGTGTCCAAACTGTCCAACATGGTTTATGCAGAAAACCTGTTTTCCTCCTGAGAGTCGGGATTTTGGAATGTGCTAGGCAGAGGGTGCCTATGAAATTCGCCTCTGGTAAAAAATCCTGGACTCCTAGGCTCAGGCCAGTCCGAGTAGAAGACCCTTCACTGTGTTGTCGCAGTTTGTGGATGGGGAATTAAGGGAGCACTGCGTGACTGCACCAGGAGGGACCCCTGGTGGCCAGCCTCGGCTTCCTCTGGATTTTGCCACATGGGCCTCTTCTCTTTGCTGATTTTATTTCCTTCCTCCACTTTAATAAATCCTGGGTGTGGGATGATATCCTGAGTCCTAGGAGTCCTCCTGGTGGGTCCCCAGACCTGGATCTGGACCCAGAGACCCCCACACAGAGATCTACTTCCTGAACAAAAACCGAAGGTAACAAAACTCACCTTGCTTAAATTGCTTCTTATCGAGAGTCCCCTTAGCCTCACCACAGGTCACAGGAAGTTTAGGAAGGTTGAAATTCACATTTTTTTCTCTGGGAATTGTTGGACCTGCAAAGAAGTAGTAGAAGTAGTAGTTGTTGTTTAAATTCCATCTTCCTCTAAAACTCTGCACTCTGTCTCCCCATCTATCTTGAGATCCCTCTTTTTTAACTCAAAATGTATTGGATTTCAAGGTTTTTCTATTATGGCCACTTAGATGCCCATCGATAATGTCACCCTCCACTCCCACCTTCTGAATTCCTACATGAAGCCTCGTGAGGCAAAAGCTGAGCTCCCAGACTTGTGGGGCCACAACTCCTACCGCACAAGGACTTTCCCCCCGGTGTTTTGAAGATGTATTTCTAATCATGTTATGACTTTGAGGTTCTGCACATAGAAAAAAAATAACCAAATTTTAGTCTAGTCTCCCATTCAAGGCACTGACTGGGGGAACAGGGCAGGGTGGCACAGGGCACCTAATGGGGTAGCTTCTCTCTCTCTCTCTCTCTCTCTGTGCTCTCTGAGTTGCTTCACTTATCCTCCACCGGAGCTTCCTCAATGGCTCAGGGTGGGGGCTCGAGAGAAACTTCAAATGGCTCAGGGACCCCTGCAGTCCCCACTGCCTTTCCAGCCAAGATCCGGGAGATCCATGGAACACACAGCCAGGACTTCTCTCTGGGACGGGGACAGTGAGCTGTCTATGGCTTTTCCTGAGTCATTTCAGAGATACAGACTCAGAGCTGGGGGAGCCCCAGCAGGGAACTTGGTCTAATTTACCAAACACCCTTCCCCACCTCTTTACAGATGAGGAAACTAAGCCCAAAGTGGCAAACGACAGGCTAAAGCCACGCAGCCCAGGAAGTCTGGGGGTTGGAACGTGGCTTTGGTGTTACTTCTGTGCCATCTACAGCTTTCTACCTGGCCAGAGAAGGGTCCGCCAAGTATCATGACAATCACAAATTATATATTTTTTTCTTTATATTTCTCTCCTCAAAAGTTATGGGCATAGTGAAAGGAGGTGCAGGACAGGGTGGCCTGGGGCCTCTCAGATCAATTGACTAATCAATAGAATGGGAGTTCACGTGATCTGCCGTGTTCACTGACCACTGCCAACGAAGATCCTAATGTTTGGAATGGGCTCCATAAACCAATGATGGAAACTGATTTATCACTCAGAATGCAGAGTATAGAACAGGAATTTAGGTGTTTAATTATTAAAAGTCTATGGATTGCATCTTTTTACCTCTTTTTCTCCCTCTTTTCAAGGGTTTAACGTTGACTCTTTTTCTCCCTGAGAAAGTTGAGAAGCAGCACGATTATCTCTTGTTTACAACATTGCATTGCAAATAACCATGTTTTTCAAAAACACCATTTAAATGTAATTTTACAGGAGCTTGTTTAGTACTTAAAGAAAAACACAAATGCCAAGATCAAAAGTCAGGCGCTTCTTCTGTAAAGGTAGTAAATATTTAAGGTTTTGTGTTCATGATCTCCAGTGCAACTCTTTGACTCTGGAGTTGTGTCAGGAAAACATCCAAAGACAATATATAAACGAAAGGATGTGGATTTGTTTAAATAAACCTTAAAACAAACATTTAGAGAACGGAATTTGCCCTGTGGGCCATAGTTTGCTGACCCCTGACCTACACTTAGTTCTAAAAGTAATGCTGCAAGACATGGTGTCGTATGGTGCTTGGGAGACTGAGGCAGGTGGATTGTGAGTTCAAAGCCAACCTCAGCAATTTAACAAGGTCCTAAGCAACTTAGAGAGATCCTGTCTCAAAAAAGTATATACAATCATATATATATATATATATGGATTAAGGATGTGGCTCAGTGGCTAAGTGCCCCTGGGTTCAATTCCTAGTACCAATAAAATAAGAATAAAAGTAATGCTTACCTGAGATTCACCCTACATTTCTTTATTAGTATCCACAATTCATCCCAAACACATCTGAAACACTGATTTATGTTGTTTCCCGAGCAACACGGTGAGGACAATATGAAGAAAACTTTTGTCTCTACTAACTCCTTAGAACAAATCTATTAAACGGGTACTACAACTGTTCTTACTTTCAAGGTGAGGAAACTGATGCTCAGAGATTTTTAAAAAACAAATTAAGGGCTGGGGCTGTAGCTCAGTGGCAGAGCGCTTGCCTAGCATGTTCGAGGTACTGGGTTCCATCCTTAGCACCATATACAAATAAAATAAAGGCATTCTGCAACTACAAAAAAAAACTTTATAAAAAAAAACAAACAAATTTAAAAAAGGTAGTGAAAATTTCCTTTGGGAAAGAGAAAAAAACGGCAATTCAAGGTCTTGGGACAGACCTCATGGCAGACTTTATCAATCACACACCCAAACTTAAACTTGAAAGATTTTTCTACTGAAAATACTGCAGAAAATGGCCAAGGACTTCAAAACTAAGCTAGTGAAGGTTATTCAAGGGGGGGGGCGGATTTGTAGAAATTAAGGCTCAAAGTCTATGAGTTATAGAGCTAAAGACAGCACAAAAAATTGACTTAAAAGATATCTAAGAAAAATGTAGAGTCTGATTTTATGTGTTGACTGGATGTGCAGAAAAAAAAAGGAAAGATTGAGTCACTCCATGTGATTATTAAAGACTGTATCATTCAGTTGTTTGTGGCTGTTAAAGTCAGGGACATGGAGTGCCCGCTCACCCTTCTCAAAGCCTGTGCCTGTGATTCCGTGCTCATGGCTGTCATTGTGGGGTGCTGATTTGGGCAGTACAGATCCTAGGAGAAAACTCCCCCATGTACACTATCATACACGTGCTTCCCTTTAAGCAGGTTGTGACCAGATTAGGCTGGGGAGAGGTCTTTCCTTCAATCTAGTACAAAGAACCCTCAGGGTGGATGTTATTTTATTTTCTGAACCTTTGCCGTAAGAGTTACTCAGAGGTTTTTGCTTTTATGTTTTTAAACCTCATCAAGATAAAAATGGCCCCAGATGACATTGATTGATGATTCACATCCCCAAATCAAGTTTGTCTTAGCTCACAAGGCATCACCCTTAGGAAGTTAATTAAGATGTTACAGAGATACATGCAGTGAGGAATTACTCACCTTGCATGAAGGAACAATCAACTTGGCTATTATACTCAAAGTTTAAGAAGAACAAACAAAATGGGAAATTGGATCCTCAAGGAGGTAGATGAACCTTTTTTTTTTTTTTAACACTCCTTGATTGTGCCTCAGAACAAATTGCTCTAATTTGATCAGTTTCAAAGAATATGATTGGGGTGTGATAGTTCCTGGTGGCCAGGGTGAAAGGTCATTGACACAGGTGTGGTTCTCTGTGGGACTCTCTCCCTGTCACTCACCAAGGGACACAGGCCAACTCTCTCTCTTTCTCCACTCCTGGTTCCATGAGATGACACCTGTTCTATCTGCTCTCTCCTTTCCCATCAGGTGGCCAACCTGGAGCTCCAGCCCTGCTGCCACTGGATCTTCCCAGCAACAGCCATTACTTCCTCTTAGTCTCTCTTTGTTTAAATCCTCCTAGGGCTAGTGCGTTAGCTAATCTCTCCTTTCAATCAAAACCTGCCAGGGCAAACAACTTCAGGGCAGAGAAACAAAAGATCATTATGCTCCCTCTTAGTTCATGGCTTAGAGAAATTTGGATTGAAGACCAGATCATATTTGATAAAGTGCTGCTGAAACTTGGCTTTACAACGGCTTGCCCTATCTTACAGTCAGGAATAAAACACCTGGACAGAGCAGGATTTAACTGTTTTTCAGTAAACTAGTCTTAGTAACCACTTTACTACTACTACTACTATTAAAACTCTATATCAACTCAAAAATAACAGTGTGGTCAGAAAGAATTGAAAGTTATTAAAAATAATTTTGTTGATAAGTGGGGCTAATCATTCTGAGCAAAAGATGTTAGGATGTTTAGGTTCCAGCAGATGTCTCAGGATCCAGGAATGGTGTGATGGGATCCGAAATCCTCACGCAGAGTGCTGGTCTACCCCTGCATCCCAGAGCACGATAGGAAAGAGGGAGCCTGGTTCTGCAGCATCAGACTTCCCCACCCCCAGGCCTTATGAAAGAGCCTACATTTTTTTTTGAGAGAGAATTGTCAGACATCTCCTTCAAGCCAAGTGAGAAGTCTTTAAGACATCACTGCGTCTGGCCATGGAATGTGAGGGATGTAGACACGATCAGACTCACTCCTGCTCTAAGTGTGGAAGTTATGGCTAGAGGGGTCGGTGGTGGCAGAGGACTGTGCTGGGAGCCTACAAAGGAACAGAGAAGAACCATGATTGCCAGGGCCTCGTGGAGACGCTGTAGATGGGAGCAGGACTGGAGCGTTTTTGAGAAGTAACTGCAGCAGGGTGTGGACCTTCTGGAAGGACCGTTCAACACCTTAATTTCAAAGCAAGTTTGTCACTATTGAGAATGGACAGGCAGTGAAGATACTGCTTTTGCTCTACTAGTGAGAAATTTATGGCCTATATGTATTTATATTTGTAAATATACGTATGTTTCTGTATGTACATATTCCATTTATACATACGTATACACGTATCCAGAGAAGGTTGGTTTTAGACTGGCTGAATCACCATGGGGCAACCTAGGAGACAGGCAGAGAAATGTCTTCTCTGCTGGCTTCATCATCCCTTTGCCACAGCTTTCCCCTGGCTGAAAGAGAAACTCAGCAGAGTTCTAGAAGGATCAGCAAATTTCCCAGGGAGAAAGGGGGCTTTCTACATGGTAGGGTGGAACCTCTACAGGTGGGATGGAAAGACTGAGGATCTGGTTTAGTAGACAGAGGTGGAGCTCTGCAGGTGGACTCCAGGAAGAGGAGCTGCTGTTCCTACCCTTCCAGGCAGCAGTGGTGAGGGGCCATGTCTACTCCCCAGGGGCTCCCTGTTCTCCCTGCAGGACAGGCAGCTGTCCAAGGTGCTTGCCGGGTTGGGTGGGAGATTCTCAAGGGAAGCCACGTATGAACGTGATGAGCCTGGGAGGGCAGCCATTCTGATTCACGTTATTAGGAGTAAACGGAGGTAGAAGTGGTGAAGGGGCAGGCCCGAGTCTGCAGGATGACCACAGGGCGTCAGGGAAGAAGGGAGTGGATACATCACGTGTGTGTGTGTGTGTGTGTGTGTGTATGTGTGTGTGCGTGCGCGTGCGTTAGCTATTTTGAGCCTTAGAAGTTATCAGATCAGCAGAGGCCACAGTGAGTGTCCAGGGACCTGGGGAGGAGTGGCAGACTCATCACTCAGGGTTTGTTTATAGTGTATTATCTTTCCTTCCCTGACCCATTTTGGAAATTGACAGTATCTTATATATTTCTTAACAGTCAGCACATCTACATAAAGCAATTAGGGAAACAGGTTTGTAACTAAGGAACAAAATAAAGCATGAGAATTTAATGTTTGTTGAAAACGTTTCTTTTCCTTTCTTACCTTTTGGCCAACCTCTTTTTCTTGGAAGGACATTATTCTGAATTGAGTGGAATCTATGTCTGCCTTTCTTTATTTCTGAGAAAAAAGGAAAAATATAAAACAGTCGCAATGCATAACAGTGTTTTTCAGATTTCTACTTTACTGTAACTTTTCAAGAGTCTGATACATAATGAAAGCTATGTAGTCCATAGCCTTGCAAATTCCAAGCCTTTAATAGTAACCTGGGCTCACCTGAGATTCCATTGTATTTACTCTGACATTGATCCAAATTCATTTACTCCCATGTCAATAAAAAATTAACATATTATACCAAAGAACATTGTGATAATAATAATGATATCTAACACTTAAGTGCTTATTATATTCTAGATAGTAATACAAGATACACACACACACACACCAGGATTGAACCTAGGGGCACTTAACCAATGAGCCACATCCCAGCACCTTTAATTTTTGAGACAGAGTCTCACTAAGTTGCTTAGGATCTTGCTAAGTTGCTGACACTGGCTTTGAACTCGGGATCCTCCTGCCTCAGCCTCCTGAGCCACTGGGATTACAGGTGTGTACCACCAATACATACATATGCTAGTAAATTTAGGAGAGAAATTCTTTTAAACCCCATTACCACTGAAGAAACTGAAGCATACAAAAAATTAAAAAGCGAAGTGAAACACTGTAGATTTCCTTTGGTTGAGAGGCAGAAATCAATGGTAGCAATTTGGATTGTTCGGGGAGAAGGGAGGATGAGCTACAAGGATGAGACACTAGCATCTTAGCCCTGGTCAAGAATTTGGGCTGAAAAGAAAATGAAAGTCACCAAAGACCTTATTTAAATAGTTTTGAACAGATAATAGCATCAAAGAAACTAACCAAAAGGACACTGTCCCAGGGGAATTGTAGAGATAAATGTTAATATCTTAGAAAGCCTCAAGGTTAAGGACAGCAAAAGTGGTTCACTGAAACCCTGTCTCAGGGAAGGATGCTCTCAGAGCCAGTAGTTAGTGGGTGTGGGTGGAGAGCAGTGAGGTGGTGTGTGCAGGCACGACTCACCATGCCAAGATACCCTCTTTCTCTCCCCTGGTTCAGCTGCGAACACCTTAGGCGAACACAGACTCTTTTTCTATCTCTCTGTGTCTTTCTCTGGTACTGCTATATTCACCTTTCATCAAAATATTTTGAGGTCAAACAGATTAAAGGCATAAAGTTGTCTGGTTCAGTTGACCCAAGCTCTCCTCATTAAGAGATCTCGGGTTTAAGACTTCCAATCCCATAGAGCTCCTGGACTTTCCTTTAGAGTCATTTTTTTTAGTTTTTTTTTTTTTTTGCTCAAATGCAATTAAGCATACATAATGTGGCTGTTCTTGGATTTCCTGTCCAATTGCCATTGATCGGCACCCTACACTTGCTATAGAAGTGAGCTAGGAGCTCCCCTCTCCTCAAGGAAAGTGAGAAGGCTTTGCCTTCAAGGGAATTGGCCTGCATCTCTAGGAATTTGGAGGAGCAGAAATATTTACAGCCTTGACCCTGGGACAAGTACAAGGGAGACCCTGCTAGGAGCGAGCCACAGGCCCAGTGGAGCTTTGAGGAAGGACAATTTTCATGAGCTTCTCCGGGGAAAGGAGGAGTTCAGTTAGGTATGCTTGAAAGATACTCTGTGCAGAAAGATCACTAGGATGGATCACGTGGTGGCCCAGCAGGAGTGTGGATCTCCACAGCTGGTTAGTTTCTGCATTAAGGGAACTTGAGTTGAGAGATTTCCTCTAAATTGGGTCTCTAAAGAACTAAAAAAAGAATGTGGCTCATTAATCTACCATATCTGGGAGACATCAAGGATCTACCAAAAAGACAGCCATGGGAACCAGTAGAAGCTCAAAGGAAAAAGACCTGGGTAAGTACAAATTTGGATATGACAAACATGGTAAAGACAGGAATGGAGAGGAAAATGATAGAGATGCTAGAAGTAATGGAAAGAAAAAAAAAATGAAGCCCTGACACCACTACCACATAAATACACTAGAAGTATTTTATAGAAACAAAACATTGTAGCCTGTGCAGCAAACAATGGAGCATCCTATATCTTCTTCCTCCAACACCCAAGCACAGCACGGTGTGTGCTCTGAGTTTGGTTTGAATAACTGTTTCCCAGGCTTAGAACCAATATGGTTCCAGGGCTGTAGCTTTGGCTTCATTGATTTGAGTTCCCACTGTCTATTTCTCCTTGTTCCACCAGGGGCTGGATCAACTAGTTACAATACCCCCTTCTAACACTTTGCCCTCTCCTCCCATTCCCAATCAGGGATGGCTCATCTCTGGCTTGTAATTCTGTGCTACACCCCAGGTTCCAGCTCATGCTCATGCCAAAGGGTCTCAATGTCGAGAAGGCTTGGTTTGAACCAATGCTTTCCTCATTTGGAGGAACTGGTGACTTTGGATGCAAAAGTGAAGGGCAAGTAGGCAGGCTGCTGCTTGTCACCCACAATCATTCTCTCTTTCTCCTATAAGAAGAGAGTTATGGCTGCCCTCGTGGATGCTGGTAAGAGATTATATTTCTCAGCCTCACTCGCAGCAAACTCTGGCCAATGACCAAGTTTTGGCTGATGGGATTTGAGTAGAAGACTTCTTTCCAAGAAACCAGTGGTGGTTGTTCCGTTCATTTCTCCCATTCCCACTGGTTGAGAGAGAGCAACCACAGGTCAGCCTTGTTGGACCCAGAAATGGTAACCACATGTCAAGGAAGGCAGATTCTTCCTACCACCCTGAACTGTTAAATGAAAGAGATATTCGTTGTTTGGTTTAAGCCTGCATTTGGGGATATCCTTGTTACAATGACTTAGCCTGTATTCTAAATAAACCAAGAGTTAATCAGTTATCGTGGTTCATAGGAGATTTAGGGGCTGCAGCAAAGGTGAGATCTGGAAGAAAGATCAGGACCACAGCAAGCTCAAGGAGTGAGGGCTAACAGTTCTCCTTACCTTTTTGGAGATGGTTTACTTTATGAAGTCTTTTTCCCCCTTCAACAGAAAAGAGAGAAAATGATCCTTTAGAGCTATAAACAAAGGTTTACAAGCTTTTCATATCAGGAGCTTTCAAGTATTCTATTTTTAAACCTTCATTCTACTATGTTTTTGTGAGGCTAAATCCTCAGCTAGAAATACACCACCTTGGTTATTGTCACATAGAAAAAATTAACACAAAAACCTATATTTGCATTGTCAATGATTTCTTAAAAAGAAAATTTACATGAGGGTTTTTTTTTAAAAGAGAGAGAATTTTAATGTTTATTTATTTATTTTTTAGTTTTCAGTGGACACAACATCTTTGTATGTGGTGCTGAGGATGGAACCCAGGCTGCACGCATGCCAGGCGAGTACGCTACCGCTTGAGCCACATCCCCAGCCCAAAATGAGGGTTTTTAAAAAAAATTTTTTAGTTGTCAATGGACCTTTGTTTTATTTCTTGATATGTGGAGCTGAGAATCAAACCCAGTGCCTCACACATGCTAGGTAGGCACTCTGCCACTGAGGCACAACCCCACCAGTACATGAGGTTTTAACAGTCACAGTAAATAAAATTTTTAGAATTGCTCAATACCAGGCAGAAGGTGACAACAGAAGGGGAATGTCTCACAGGTAAAAACAAGATTTCAGACAATGTCAGCACACTTGCAGGAATTTAGAGAAATACCTTGAAAATCCAAAGTTGTATTTCCTGTTTACAACATGCAGAAATTAAGAAATAAACCCATCAGAACAATGAAGTCAAACTGTAGGAGGAAAACAAAGGAGATGGGACAATTCAGAAATTAAAAAGGACATAGATTATAGAATTCAGAAAAGGAAACAAGGATGTTTAAGAACGATTCAGAAAAATGAGTAGGGAGAAAAGAGTCAGTGGAAAACCATGAACAGATCATCGGAGTTTCTGAAGGAAAAAAAAAAATAGAAGGAATACTTGAAGCTAAGATAATACGTGCAGTTCTAGCATCACATAGAACACATGTATCACCAGTACACGTGTTTTCAGCCTGTAGCAGAGACGTGCACTCAAGACCGTCAACCCTGAGACATATTCCAGGAAATTTACCACACCTCAAAGTTACAGGAAGAACTGAATGAGCGGCCTAGGCAAAAAGATCAAGAGAGGGGATCTTATCAGCTACAGAATTTGCCACAGTAACATTTAATGTGAACAAAAATCTACAAGATATTTCTATAAATAATTAGCAAATTGTTTTTCAGGTATAATTAACACAGATAATTAATTTCAAACAAGAGAATCCTGGGGGATGTTGTTCCTTTGATCTCTTTTTGAAAAAATAACCTAAATCACTAAATCAAGGCAGGATTGGAAAAATGTTGGCAAAAGGACTGAAATATAAGGAGTGGGGTGGACTAGAGGGAAATATGGGTGGTAGAGCAAGTTTTTTATTTTATCACTAGGAGTCAAAGGGTATTATTTGGATGAACCCAGAAGTAATTGTGAAGCATTTTTTAACAGCTGAAAGGCAATAATCATGGTCTAAAACTGAGTGGGTGAGGAGACTGAACACACTCTGATTTTACAAATCTGGATGGGAGACTAATGGGTACCGTCTAAAAGAGAAGATCAAGGGTATCATAAAAAGACAAATCTAAGAGTGATGACAAGAGCAGAAACCTAATCCTTAAATATTCAGTGTCTTGGCTCCCACCAGTGCACACTAGGAAATGGGCGGGGCCAGCATCCAGTCACCAGAGCTAACTGTAAGGAATGCAGTGAGGTATAGTCTCAGCTCAGTGGCCAGGTGTCCAGCGGAACAAAAAGGCAAACCTTCCTGGGTATCTGAAGTACACACCCACACCCACACAAAATGCAGAGAGACAGAATGTAGAGTGTTGACATTTCAAAAACCCCAAACCCTAGAATTCAAAGTAGAAATCAATGGGACCAAACAAGATCAAGCATCTTGATGTCCATAAAAGTAAATGTGCTTGACTCATTTGAAAAAGAAAATTTTAGATCCAATTACAAAGTTAAACCCAACTTTTCACTACATACAAGAGACTAACTTAAACATATATTTAAAAACAATGAAAATAAATATGCATTAGCATATCTCTACAAGAAATCAAGGCTTATCACTGAATGTCAAAGAAAGTGTAATACAGGCCAAAAAGTGTTCAGCAAGGAGACACAATAAAAAGCAGAAATATACTATTAGAAGACTTTTTTTTTTCTTTAGCTCATAAGAGATCACTGGACAAGACAGAGGAGGCTATGAAAGACCCAAGTCACACATTTAACAAGGCAGACGTGGTCCCTGTGTAATGAACTCGATAGCTAGAAAATAGAGCACATGCCCTTTCTTCCCCTTCTCTTGAATGTCTCCTGAGTCAAGGAGAAAATACAAACTCGAATTGTGGGATGGCTAGCCAATAACAACATTGAAGACACCACTTACAGGAACCTATAGAAGACTGATAATAGAATGCCCGCAGAAAAATATCAGCCTTAAATAATTAATCAGTGATAGAAATGACAGCAATTGATTTAAAACACCTGCCTCGGAAAGGTTAAAAAATATAAAATATTCCAGATGATATAATCATAGACTCAGAAACCCCCAAAGAAGCAATTAATAATATAATAAGAAAAATCAGAAAATTTCAGAGTATGGAAATGAATAGCTTTCGTATATAGGAGTAATGAGTGATCAGTCAAAAGGCGCACTGGGAGGAAGGACAGCAATTACCACAGCATCAGCAACAGCGGACAAAACAGAAGGCCTGCATCCCCCACAGGAGAGAAAGCTGAAGCGCTACTGAAGGCAGGAAGGGCTGTCGATGGGCACCACGCTGTGTTCTTGGTGGGGAGTCTCAGCACCACCACACGATGACCACCCGTGAGAGCTACGGACCCCGACAGACCACTTCCCCCAGCTCTACTCCATCTCTCCAGCTGGTGACCTCCAATGCCATTCTGTAAAGGACCACGTGGAGTGCTGTCTTAGGCTTTGCAATGAACGTTTTCCCGCCTCGCTCCCTGGCTCAGTCCCTCGCCTCCTTAAGATCTTATACACGGTCTGTAAATGAGGTTCTCCTTGTCCACCATTCCTAAAATGACATGTTTTCATCACTCTACACCTGCATTACTCTTTGTTCCTTTATATATTATTTACATACTATTGTATGCTATATAATAATATAATCTATTATTATTTATATGTTATTCCTTTGTTCCATATAAAATATTACATACTGGGCTAGGGGTATAGCTCAGTGGTAGAGGGCCTACCTAGCATGCCAGAGGCTCTTGGTCTGATCCTCAGAACTGCAAAAACAAAATAAAAATAAAATATGATATATTTATTTGTGTATTTTCTACATACCCACAGTAGGATGTAAGGTTGATGAGATTTTGTTCATTTCTTTATCTATGTTGTGCAGCTTGGAAATATCTGTTGAACATATAAATGAAGGATGTGAAAAGGAAACAATAGTGAGACCACTCATGTTCATGAGCAGGAAGACTCAATATCTTAGACATGTCAGTTCTCCATTCTATGCAATTTTGATAAAAATAAAACAGGGTTTTAAAGGGTTGGCAAAATGACTAAAATTCATGAAGAAAGATGGCACATGCCTGTAATACCAGTGGCTCTGGAGGCTGAGACAGGAGGATTGAGAGTTCAAAGCCAACCTCGGCAGCTTAGCGAGGCGCTAAGCAACTCAGTGAAACCCTTTCTCTAAATAAAATACAAAAATGGGGTGGGGATGTGGCTCAGCAGTTAAGCGCCCCATAACAACAATAAAAAAATCATGACTAAGGGAAAAATGGACATAAGAGCCTAAATAATTTTGAGAAAGAAAACCATTGGGAGAATATTATGATATTATGCAATTAGAGTACTTTAATAGAGTATGATATGTACTATTACAGAATAGAGAGAGCAATGGATCAGTCTAGAAAGCCCAGAAACAAGTCTGTCTATCTACCTACCTGTCTCTGTGTATATGTATACTACCACTGAGCTACAACCCCAGCCCAGCCGTGTGTGTGTGTGTGTGTGGCTTGAGGCAGACAATGTATGATATTGCAATATCTTTGAATAAACTGGGACAATTGGTTGCCATACTGGGAAAAAATTAGACCCCCACCTAATGTCACACTGAAAAGAAAGCAACTCCAAAAGGACTAAATATGTAAGTGAGAAAATAAATACGGATGTCGCAGTCTAGTATTCTCAAAAGAAGATCTTGTTCAGTAAGCTTACTCTTGAAGCAATCCCAAGGAGCAGGAGTGAGGAACTAGGAAGTGGGAAAGGGAAGAAGAAAGCCAATTGGTGTCCAACTCGTCCTCCATCTTGCTGGGAACCTCTGAAGAACTCTAAATAGTGGCTGTCAGAGGAGCTGGGGAAGCAGCTCAGTGGTACAGCATCTGCCTAGCCTGCAAGAAGAAGAGCAAAGAGTGGCCTCCACACTGTCCATCTTGGGTCTGACTGGTCAAGATGCCCAGTCAAGTAGGAGAGCAGAAAAGCTCTGGGATGCTCCAGGATTAGGCCATGGTTCCTTAAACAAGATTGAAAAGCATAACCATAGAGGATAATATAGACAGGCAACACAAAGAAAGTATCTTTTGTACATCAAAAGCACGATCAATTAAGGGAAAGAGGTAAAAGGGAGATGGAAATAGGCTGGGGGAGTTTCTAAGAAACCATCTCTCTGAAGAGGAGATTCCTGAGCTGAAACATGAATAAGGAGCCTTCTGGCGCAGGGAAGAGCATTCACTTATATCAACAGAGATGATAAGGCTTTGAGGCAGAAAATTGCTTGGGTATTCAAGGAAGGCCAGAGTAGTAACTGAGGCAGGCGTGTGACAGAGAGAAGATTTATAAGGTGATGGGGGCAGCTTATGTAGTGCTTTGAAGGAATAGAAAGACATTTAGACTTTTTCTCTTGATTCAACTGGAAACCATTAAAAGGGTATAAGCAGTTGGGTGGCAGGCTGTTGAGTGGAGAATGAATTATAAATGAGCAAGAAGAGAAGTGGGGTGACCCGTGGGGAGGGCTCTGGTTTACCCCATGCAAGACAACAGGACTTAAACTGGGGGAGGGGCAGGGGAGATAAAGAGTGAACAACGTGAAATATACTTTTGAAACTTGATGGATTGAATGTGGAGGGTTAGGAAAAGGCGGAAATCAGTATGTGCCTTACATTTTTTTGGCTCAAGCAACTGAAGATATATACCATTTACTGAGATGAGGGTGACTGGTGTGGGTGATAGGGTTGCAAGTACAAACCATGAAGTCTGTTTAGCATATAAAATTTGAGAGAGACACCTATTAAAATCCAAGTGGCTATTTGGAGCAAGAATTTGAATTTATGATTTTGCAGTTCAAAAGAAAGAGGAGGAGAAGTATAATTGGCAATCATAAACACGAAATTGAAAGAACAGCATGGTTAGAATGGAGAGAGTACTGTAGAGATGGGAAGGGACCCAGGTCTTTCCATCATGGAGATGTCAGCAAGTTCAGAAGGCCACCACGAGTACCACCATTCAACACCATCATCAACACACCAGCAAGTGACCGGGAGGCACGATTAGACAGAAAGAGATTGTGGGTCCCAGAAGACAAAAGAAGAGATTGCATTTTAATCCACATGACTTGAAGGGGCTGTGTTCTCCCCGTCACCCACCTGATCAAGGTGGTGCCAAGGCCTGCTGGGTGCTTGAAGGCAAAAGGCAGCCAACAACCCCGACCTTTAAGACCATGATCAGGTGACCACCACCGGCCACCCTCAGATAAGCCACACCAGCTCCATCCTCTAGACTGGAGAAACAGCTTTCTGAGGCCCCAGGCTCCTGGGAAGGGGTCTCTCTCCCCTTCCACTATTACCTCCACACCTGCTGCCTTCCTTCTGCCTCACCTGTGATTACCTCCACACCTGCTGCCTTCCTTCTGCCTTACCTGTGAGGCCAGTAGGGTCACTCATCTATGGCCATTTGTACATTTGTACTTGGAAGAAGCCCACTGAGAATATGTAGTCTAGAAGCAGCCTCACCCCACAATGAGGTCTGCAGAGAACCCACATTAGATTGCAGCATATCTATGACAGAGAACATAGGTGATGATGTAGAAATAGATAACACTAGAGAAATAGACAATGATGGTGAAGAATCACCACTATTCTCACAGGTAGTTTCCTGACATTTCTGATACATCTTTTCATATTTTTGTTTGTTTTAACTGTGTATTTTGCACAATCATATATTTGGATTAAACTTTCACACAATGGTAGAATTAACTTATTCATGAAAATATATCATCCAATGATTATTTATTGAGCACTTTTAGCTAATTAACCCTAGGAGCTGAGGATAAAGTTGTGGATAACATAAAGTCCTTGCTACAAGGAGTTTACATTCTGGTGGGAGACAAATAATGATAAATAAATACATAAAAGATGACAGAGTACTATAATGAAAAGTAAATCAGAATGAAGGGATCGGAGAGCGGTGGATGGAGCTGTGTGTGTGTGTGTGTGTGTGCACTAATTTAATATAGAGGACTTGGGGACGAATCTCTAGTAAGTTAACTTTTGAGCAGATATTTGAAGGAAGTTAGAGTCATTCATAGATTCTGTCCTTCATTGGTCAAGATGCCCAGATCATTCCCTTAGGAAAACCACTGTAGGTTCTGAGTTGACCACCTTATCTGTGGAAGTGAGGGTCACTGTGACTTGCCTGCCATGCCCTGCAGGCTGAGCTATGGTGACTTCATCTGTCACCAATGAGATGCCAACCAGTCTTCAGTGTGACCATAAACTTGAGTAAAGGTTTTTGAAGTCTTGGCCTCTCTGCTGAAGCCTTGCACACTTGTTTGGGGGTGCCCTGGTCCTCCCAAGTTGGCTCTTCCTGCAGTTTCACCAAATTATCTATCTTATTCCAGTAACAGTGGGCAATTACAAAGACCATTTTGTATATCCTCACCCAAAACAGGTAGCTTGAAGGGAAACTGAGATTCGGTAATCTTTGATATAGATGTGGTCTGATTTGCCTGGAAAGAACAGTTGAGGAAGGGTCAAGAGTGAGAAGTGGGTAAGTAGGTCAATAAAAAGGGGGGTGTGGTGAGGCCCACAGGACGAGGTCTTGTAAGTGGGAACTGCATTTTGGAAAAATAAAGAGTGTAGAAAGCATTTTAATGATGCCAGGGATGATTATTAGCCTATAAATACAAAATCATGATTATAAAATATTATATGATAAATTATTAAAAATAATAACCATCCTCCCACTTAAATATTGAAATAGTTGCTCACATTTTGTATTTAGGTGAAGACAAGAAAGGAAAGGTAAAAATAAAAAAATAAGAGGTCTCAGCCGGCTCAGATTGAAGCAACAAGAATTACAGGCCACAGTAGAAAAGTCTGTATACATCCTTAGTTCCTGTTTTCAGGCCTTTCTTTTTTTATGCCAATAAAATTAAGCTCCACATATTTGCTTTTCTTATAAGACTAACAAATTTCCAGAGATTGAGTTTTTAAGTCCCTGTAACAAAGAAAAACAATTCCAGAAAGAGATGAAAGAAAATTCTCTCAACACAGTTGTAGAAGGAGAAAGAATATCTGCACCACAAAACTAATAGATATGATCTGAAGGGTTAAAATTAGAAGTTTTGTAAGAGTCTTATTCTCTGGTAAAATACAGGAACACGTGTCTATTTATAAATATTATCAATTCATTCTGTTCTCTGTTAATATAAATTTGTCATTGGAAGAGTTGGAAGAGTAGAATGTTTCTAGTGATGTTCTTCCAAGTTAGGATTATTGACATTTCTGATGAAACCAATTTCCAAAGGAGGCTGTAATTCTGATTCATCATGCTACTTGATAGTTTAGAACCATAATATTTTAAGTTACATCTGGATCCTGAAACTGCATAAATGTTGTAAGATTTTATATCAAGTCAGTGACTTTCTGATTCCCTCATGTGTAAATAATAAAATGACTGTGGATTTTCTATTTAAATTAAGATTTTGAGTCTTGTCTCACTTAAATTCATTGGGTTATTATATAGATGGAAAAATGTTCATGCTAACACATATTTATAAAATATATACAACTTTTTTAAAAGGGCAGGAGCTATTTAAGAAACTTCTTATTGGAAGAATATTAAGTAAAAATGAATAAATGGGTAAAAGTCTGTATTATCCCCCAATTAACCTGCATTTATGAGGTCAATGCATTTCTAATTAGAGGTTCTGTTGGATTTGTGAAGGGGTAGGGGGGGAAGAATCTTGAAGTTATTCTAAAACTTATCCCCCCAGTAAGTCATCAGGATGATTCTGACTTCCGCTTTCTCTTTTGTAGTGCCTTCTGTCATAAAAGAAAAACATTTGTGGTCTAAGTGGCAACTTAGTTCATGATGCAATAGTGTAGGGAGTATTTTTAAAATTCCTAGCTCACATGTACACAAAGAGATGCATAGATCCCATGTGGATTATAGATAAGACTAAAAAGGATCAAGTGTTTGACAAATATAGAACAATATTTTTGAAATCTTGATGTAGAAATGGCTACTGTAAACATTATATGAAACTCAGAAACCAGTGAGAAAAAGAATGACAAATTTGACTACCAAATTCTTAAACTCCTCTAGCATAAAAGATTCCATTAACAAACCTAAAAGAAAAACAACCACTTGTACAAACTATTAGCAATACACAAGACAAAGATTTAGTGTCTATGACATAGGAGGGTATCCATGATCATTCAGCAATGTGAGGAAGCAGACAAACCACATCTACAGCAAAGAGATTTGGGAAGAAGAAAAACAAGTGATCAAGAGCAAATCAAGTCTTGTTAAGGAAATCAGGTCCTAAGTCAACATGATAAAGATTTGGTCTCACTTTTTCTTCTATTCAGCACAGGGTCTTTGTTCTAGTGCCTAAGTCTTTGGTCCACTTTGAGTTGAGTTTTGTGCAAGGTGAGAGATATGGGTTTAATTTCATTTTGCTACATATGACTTTCCAGTTTTCCCAGAAACATTTGTTGAAGAGGCTGTCTTTTCTCCAATGTATGTTTTTGGTGCCTTTGTTTAGTGTGAGATAACTGTATTCATGTGGGTTTGTCTCTGTGTCTTCTATTCTGCATTATTGGTCTACATGTCTATTTCGGTGCCAATAACATGTTGTTTTTGTTAATATAGCTCTGTAGTATAGTTTAAGGTCTAGTATTGTAAAGCCTTCTGCTTCGCTTTTCTTGCTAAGGATTGCTTTGGCTATTCTGAGTCTTTTATTTAATGGGATGAATTCGAACTAAAAAGATTCTTCTCAGCAAAGGTAATAATCAATAATGTGAAGAGAGAGCCTACAGAATGGGAGAAAATATTTACCCCACACACCTCGGATAGAGCATTAACCTCCAGGATATATAAAGAACTCAAAAAACACCAAAAAAAAAAAAAAAAAAACCAAACCCAAATAACCTATTCTATAAGTGGGTTAAGGAACTGAACAGACACTTCACAGAAGAAAAAATCCGAATGGTTAACAAATTATGAAAAAATGTTCAACATCTCTAGCAATTAGAGAAATGCAAATCAAAACTACTCTGATTTCATCTCACTCCAGTCAGAATGGCAATTATCAAAAATATAAGCAACAATAAGTGTTGGTGAGGATGTGGGGAAAAAGGTACACTCATACATTGCTGGTGGGACTGCAAATTGGTGCAACCAATCTGGAAAGCAGTATGGAGATTCCCCAGAAAACTTGAAATGGAACCACTATTTAACCCAGTTATCCCACACCTCAGTATATACCCAAAGGACTTAAAATCAGCATACTATAATGATGCAGCCACATCAACATTTATAGCAGCTCAATTCACAATTGCTAAGCTATTGAACTAATCTAGTGCCCTTCAACATCTGAATGGATAAAGAAAATGTGGTATATATACTCAATGGAATATTACTCAGCTATAAAGAAAAATGAAATGATGGTATTTTCAGGTTAATGGTTGGAGCTGGAGAATATCATGCTAAGTGAAATAAGCCAGTCCTCAAAGCCCAACAGCCAAAGGTTTCCTCTGATATGAGGATGCTGATCTATAATGGTGTGTGTGGGTGTGGTGGGGGAGCTAGGGAAGAATGAAGGAACTTTGAACTGGGCAGAAGGGAGTGAATGGAGGGTATGGGGTAGTGGAATGAGATGGGCATTATTATTCCATGTGCATGTGTGATTGTACGAATGGTGTGACTCTGCATTGTGTATAGCCAGAGGAATGAGAAGGTGTGCTCCATTTGTGTACGATGTGTCAAAATGCATTGTGTTGTCATGTATAACAGTATAATCAGAACAAATTTAAAAAATAAATTAAAAAAGAGCAATTGAAGAATTCCTGCCATACTAAAGGTGGGAAAAGTCATGTTAAAGTAGCCCTATAATATGATTTTCATAGTTCAATTAAAGATACTAATCTGTTTATTATCTAGCTATGATATTTTAGTTTAAAAAGCAAGGAAGGAAAGAATATGTAGAATTATATTATTTAAATAAATAAAAATATTTCAAAACATATTTATACATGCAAAGAAATATGCTCAAATCTATACATTGATGTTTACAAGAAACATTTAAAATTCAGAATAGAAACATTTAAAATTCAGAATAAAAACATGAAGATATGAACCTTTTGAAAAATACATTGTTACTTTCAAAGGCATTTTGTCTTATGAAAGGTATAAAAATGATGATAATAAACCTTAGCATTAAAAAATAGTTCATTAGTAACATAAAAATCAAGCAAATACTTATTTGTTCTTACTTCTTTCCCCACTGTCTTTTCCCAAAGCAGAATTGTTTCCAACATCCGTGGTATCTAGAAAGTGAAGATGGGGGTCAGAGAACTGTGGTTTATAAATAAAAGTTAAAAATATATGACAATTCAGTGTGTGGAAGACTAAAGATCATACTGATGTGATGGGCTTCATTTCTCTATCTTCATTCTAAGGGAATGGACTGGTAGGGAAGATGTAAGGTCTTCCTTTAGTTCCCTGACACTTGGAGAAAGCTCTTGATCACTCTGTGTGCCTGTTTAAGGAAACAGGGATCCATGAAACAGGGATAGCAAGGGTAATCCTGCTCAAATTCTAAGTTTTTTTATGAAGATTAGATGATCTCATTGGTGAGTTAATAGAAAATCACTATATAAATCAATAACATGTTGGAAGACAACCATTGGAACTATATATTTTTAGTTTAAAAATAGTTATGTGAGGCCTTTTTCCTAACAGGTAACAGGGCAATTTGTCCTTTTAGGCTTTCCTAAGGCTGTGGCAAAGCTATTCTACCATCTCTCAGATCTACCAGCAGAAGCACACTGTTTCCTTGGTTCTACAGGTAAGGATGGAAGCCATATAAATTGGATGCTTCAGTATTGATAATAAACAGGACACTGCTGTTTGTTTTACACGAACCACATGTAACCAACAGAGCTCATCCTGTTAAACACGTGTATCTAACGCTCTTTTGCCTTTCTGCGGTTCCCAAAGGGTCAGATCATGCAGGTGTAGAGAACAGGATTCTGGCATGGCTGGGCCTGTTCCTTGTCACTGTGTACTCAGTAAGTGCTGCAGAAAATGGAAACTCTTATTCTGGATTCCTGCAGCCTGGGGCCTGGGGCCCACCTCCTGTCGGTGAGCTAGAGTCCTCCCAATGTTCTCCTTGAACTTGATCACCTTGTTCACCCTGGATCCCATGATATCTGTCTCTCTTCCTCTTCATGTGGCCCCACCACCATTTTTCTCTCACCTTTTGCAGCTTCCTCTCCTGACTCAGTCCTGCCCAGCAGCTGTGGTGTTTCTGAGCCACCTCCACCCTGATGCCCTTGAGCAGACTTGCCTGTTGGGTGAGACGCTTGGTCATTTTCCACCGTTGCTTCCTGGCCTCCTGGCACACCTTTTGGGGAACACAGGACACAGGAGCACTTCTCATTTCCAGTCTCTTGTTGCCCTGCTCCTAAATCATGATTAGTAAAGTAATTTTCATCCATGTTCCTTCCCCTGCCCAAGTTTTCTTTTCCCCTAACACTGGTGACTCCTCCCTCCCACTCCTTCATCAAAGGATGGCTTTACCTTTGAAATCTCTCTTTTGTTATTCCTTAGTGCATAAAGGTGTGTATATGTGTGTGTATACATACATATGTATAATATATATATGTATAAAATACACCTCTCTTTTATAGCTGACCCCAAGAATTTCTTCTTGAGAGAAGAGATTAATCAATAGTGTGTTTTAGAGATAGAAAACACTGAAGGAGGAGAGCCTGGTTTTAGGGCAAAAGATGATGCGTTCAGTTTTGGAAACGTTGAGTTTGGAGTGTGAAGGTCTTGACATCCAAGGGAGGACTGGGGCCTTCAGAACCTTGGACAGAGGATGTTCTCAAACTCAGGTGGGAAGACGGGGCTGGCTAGAGAAGCCAGAGGGTGGGTGGAACGCGAGTAATCAGGGCCACCTAGATCCCCGGGGACACCTTACCCTGAAGACTCACTGCTACTGTGAACCACGCCTTGTGTCGGGTTGCTTTTGCCTCACGTTCACCCTGGATCCCATGATTTCTGTCTCTCTTCTTCTTCATGCAGCCCTACCGCCTTTTTATCTAGATCTTTTAACTGTTTCTGCAATGCCAACCTTTGCCTATCTACATTTCCTTCTTCTAGGTTCATCTTCATCTCACAGACACTACTTTTATCCTCATCAAATGCCAGTCCTTTGACACTGACCAATCACCCAGCCTATTCCCTTGCCAGTTGCACATGAGATCTCTAGGTTGCAGGTCTTTCAATCAATCACCAACTTTTATTTCCATGTTTCTGGTTAGCTCCTGAGAAATATCTTGCCAGTCATCCCTTTTCTCCCCCAGACTCCCCAATCTGGGATCCTGGGATCCACATCCACTTAGAAGACCTTGAAACTTATTCAGTCTCTTTCCATCTGGTCACCAAGGTTCCCTTTTCCACTGTTTTCTCTTAACAATTTTCATTCAGAGTCACCTCCCTTCATCCAAGAGCCAGCTCTTCTTTCTCTCTTGGTTCTCTCAGACCTGTGGGAAACACTGAGTCTGTGCACAAGTCTGTATGCGTATGTGCACGTGTGTGTGTGTGTGTGTGTGTGTGTGTGTGTGCGCGTGTACATGTGTTTGGGAGGAAAAGAATGGCTCCCCCCCCCCCCCGTGTAGACAAGTAAACAAAGATAATTGATGAGATCATAATTGGCTTCTCCAATCAAGACTCTACCACTATTCATTTGAAGACCTGTGGATCCCCAAGACACTGAAGAGAAATAAGGAAATGATGGAGTACAAGTGTGACCAGGGAACGGACTTCAGTGTGGTCACAGGGAACCACGTCTAGCATTCAGACGAGCTGAGAAAAAAATACACCCACCCCATGACTGCACTTCAGGTCCAACAGAGCTGCAGCCTCTCTTCTGTCTGGCCACACCTCATTCTCCTCTTCCTTATTTCCTGCCCAAGGCCCTTCTGCTGTTCCTTCCTGTGAGCCTCTGTCTCTGATTTTGCTGGCCTCCCATGTTGCACTGTCTCTTCTCAGAGTTGCCCTGGATCTCTATTCCTCTTTATTTTTCTATTAATCCTTTCTGGATGGATCCTTCTAGTTGTTTTGTATACAAAATATCAGGCTCTATTCCTGTCCTTATTGTCTATCTGTGATTTTCACTTTTTACTCTCCATGGATATGTATGTATCTCAACCTATGTATACACACATGTGAAAGTGTGTATATGCTAATGTGTAAATGTGTATGTGCATATACAGCACACATAATATACATATATACCATAGACCATATATTATAAAATATAATATGCACTTTACATATTATATTTTTATTTGTTGATGTTGTTAAATGTTTTCTTTCTTTCATCAGCTACTGACACATTTCCCTGTGAATATTACAAGTTCCTTATACTAACTTTTCAGACTCTGATCATGTAACACAGGTCTTTTTTTTTCTGCCCATTACATGCAGTAGTCACTCACTATAAGACAACACGGTTGCTAGTTCCTATTGTTACTTGAGTTTTTCACTCTTACACATTTTGTACATCTATTCTCTTGTCCCAAATGGGGATAGCAAGGGTTTACCTGTCCAAGTCTTAAGGCTTTTGTGATGATAAAAACAGATCTTGTTTGTCAAAGTACATGGAAATAATACAATATAATCCAATTCTATGGTGAAGGACATCTGTCAAAAACTATACTAAACTTTGAGAGTGATTGATCTGAAGCTTTTATTTCTGACTATAATTACACAGCAGGACCAGTTGTCTTCTTAGGCTTCTACAATTGCAAATGACAAATGACCAGTGTGGGGCTAGAAATCTAGAGACTTTGTGTGAGTAGGCATGACAGATAACCATTGCTTTGCTGTTTATTTCTCCTGTGACAGCAAAATATATTTACATACATTTAGTTGACAGGACTCATGCTGTTCAATGTGAGTTTGTAATGATTTCCTGCCTCCTTCCATTTTCTAAAGTATTGAAAAGAAGTTTCCAGGATAACTGGATGCAAGTCAGTCAAGTTGTTCAAAATAAAAGGCATCTGGACTCAGTGGCCTTTAGTGAAGAGTCCTGACATCCTGCAGGCCCAGGCGCGGCGTCTAATCTTCTTTACCTGATGCACTTCTCAGGGCTTCCTGAGGCTCCTCTCCATAACTCAGCTCTGAAGAGCTTTCACTGCTGTGCCCTACAGAAAGGAAGGAAGTTCCGAGTCAGTCCTCGCCTGTGCCTTAGCAGCCCATCCAATCTGTAAAAGGAGGACTGGCAAAGGGAAGCTTGAGTAAGAGGAAGGGATATTCCTGCCACCAGGCCACCCTTTGGCTCCCTCTGATCCGCTGGACAAGGTTGCTCCAGGAGCCATCCCCAAGGCTGGGGCTGGGGCCAGCTTTGCCAGGGAAAGCAGCCCCTTCTGTCCCCATCTCTAGCACTTCTGACCCTTTCCCCTTGTTTGCACAGCTTCCACCTGTGTTTCTTACTGGGGGCACTGGACACAACCTTTAAGAGACATCAGCACCTCTGGGCCCTGATCCTGTGAGGCGGGTGAGCACTCCATCTGGGAACCCCCTGATCTCAGTGAGTGAGGAACGACCTTGTGCTGGTGCCACTGCACACTTGAGGCCTCTGTGTTATACCGATTAGTCTGACTCACTAATTATAGTAGTATCGTGTGAATCATCTAAAATCTCAAAAATTGTATTTTGATTTTAAAGGATATAAAAACCAAATGAGGCTTTTGTGGCAAGGAAAACTGTTTGTTACACCAAGAGTTTTTTAATTGCTCTTACTTCTTTTCTGACTGTGTATCCTCCAAGTAGACATCCTCACAAAATCTAGAAAGAAAAGGAAAGCAAAACCAGTGACCAGTGCCTACTGAGACAGGATCTGGACTACAAAGATGCTATAATGATTATTTCTGTCTCTCTAAAGAGGAGAGTTCCCTACCAAATGGGGCAGAGACACACATCTTTTAGCTCTAACTGCAAAATCAAAGAGTTTAGAAAGTGATAATTTTTTTCCCCATAGGTGTGCAGCTAAATAATTTCTCAATGAATCTGGGCTCCCTGGACTGCCTGCCTAATCATGCTGTGGTGTGTGCTCAGAGTAAAATGCACCTAGGAATAGGGGGTCTGCATTGTGCCCTGGATGTCTTGGAGCCCAAGTGGCAGAACTTGCCCTTGGCATCAAGCTCACCTGTTGGTGTTGAGATCCGGAGCGCTGAGGGTATCTCCTCCTCACTGGATTCTGAAGAGCCATAGTCATGTCCTCTCGCTGCAGAAAGGAGCAAATATCCCTTGGAGGTCTTAGTGTATGCCAAGGGGACCAAGACAGAGGAATTCTATAGAGAGGACACTAGGGACAACTTGGAGAGCTGTGAAATTCCAGGGCAAGAATATTCCTCCCTTCAGACTTCCATGATCTGCCTTTCAAATTCATGTGACTCACCGTCACTGGGCATCTTGCTTTGCCTTGGCCCCTGTCTTCCTCCACTGCATTCTCTTTCTTCTTTTACTTGTCCTTTATGGACTTATCGTTGGCTTTATGTCTGCACCTGTATTCATCCTAGCTTTGCTTATCTTTCAGGACAATCATGGAAGTCGGATATTGAAGAAGGGGAATCTTCTATTTGGCTATTTCTCTGACAACCACCAAGAATAGGATCATGCCTCTCTCCCCTCTAAAACTTTATAAACTTGAGACAAATGACAATATTAATGAAAAGAAGAACACTTTTCTTACTATATCCTATAAAATAAAAAGGGTGGGTGGAGAATAAGTACATTATTTCAACCCTTTATCAGTAATAGGTGTAATGATATGCAGTCAAAAAGACTCATTTTATAAGCAAATTTTTGCAATGTTTTCATTGTAGCAGTCAATTAAGTTTTTTTCAGTTAAACAACAGTCTAAAATGCTTTCTTAACACCTTGATTTCCCATTAGGACCAGATTGCAGAAAGAGATATCCTAGAAGCTACAGAATCAGGGCATATGAAGAATGCTCAGAATAAAATTAATCAGGAAAACAGTTGTGGACTCTGCCATTCTGTAGTCCTGGAGCTGCCATCTAATTTTACCTGGAGCAGCCTGGTGCCATGAGCAAGTGGCTTCTTGGGCCTCTTCTTCATCTCTCAAGTCAAAGTGGACATGGTTTTTGATCACTGCACAAAAGAACAGAATTCTTTAGGAGCCTCTGTTGTGACCAAGGAATCAACTCAGTAGAAAATTCCCTAATAAGAAAGGTAAGGCCACAGTGATCTGCTTTTCTGATTACTTGCCATGTAGGTTAGTGACTCGCCATACTTATCCCCGGTGACACAAACACTTCCCTGCAAGGGGCGTCTTTGCGTGGCTTGGCCTTTCTTCCTACACCTCTCCCTTTTACTTTTGCCCTCCGATGGCCATTCCGTGTTTCCATCTTCTCTGCCTGATCTCCGTGTAGGGAGGCCTTGAATGTCTTACGTTGAGGATGACAAGGCTCCTTGTCCCCCACGCCCCATTTACAAGATGGAGAAATAATACTCCCTTGGGTGTGAGTCCTAGACATATCTGGGAACTACTTTTTGGAGCAGTTTGTCCACACCAGGATAAGAGTCAGAGATGTACAGTCTGCTGAAGCAAATTCACATTTTTCTTTAGAAGCTATTGGGAGCAATTGCAAAGAACATATGATTTAAAATATTGCTCTTTTGTGACCTCAAGACCAGGTAAAATTTTAATTTGCTCTTTTTCCAGTATGGTTTCCCTAAAGAGGCATGTTTCCAAAATACTCTGGATCTAGAAGATTTAAAAGGAAAACAAATCACCAATTTGTGCACTACAGAGTTGTTTTTTTGTTTGTTTGTTTATTTGTTTTGTACTGAGGATTGAACCCAGGGTACTGAGCTATATCCTCAGCTCTTTTTAAAATTTTTATTTTGAGATAGGGCCTCACTAAGTTGCAGAGGCTGGCTTCAAACTCGTGACCTTCCCACGAGTCTCCCAAGCAGTTGGAACTACAGGTGTGCAATACTATACTTCGCCACTACAGAGTTGTACATCTTAAAACTCATACCGCAGGTATGACTGAGATAATACAACATCTTGATAATCACATTAATCTTGTATTTTATAAGGACATAACTCCAAATCCAGGATCCTAGTCTTGTTTCTCCTTCAATTCCCCATGAGACTCTGGAGAAGAACTTAGCACATTTCTAGGATTGTATTGTCTCTTCTGAGAAACAAAGATGTCAGTGCCTATCCTGCTTACCCTTTAAGGTTGTTGTAGAGAAAAAAAATAGTATATTATTTGAAAAGTTCTCTTGAAAAATCACTACAAATGCCATGGCTTGCTTCAGAATTTTGTCAAAAACAACACTTTAGGTTTCATAATACATTATTTCAAGACTTTATTTCTGCTAACATTAGAGAGTTGAATGAATTGTGTTTTGTTTGTGGTCAGATGACAATATAAACTTTTAATAAAGGAATATTTAATGGCAGCATAAACTTCTAATAAAGGAATATTTAGCTTTCTGTTCTGTATAGAAATCACTGGATAAGTCTAAAACTTTGTGTTCATAGCAATTAGTTTCTAAATCGTTACTTTGATAGCCTATTTCTACTGTATAATCAATGCATAAATTTATATTGATAAATAGAATCCATCTATTCACAATTTCAATCATCAAAAATAAATACATGATGATTTCTGGGTCCACACATTTCCCCAAAGGATCAAATCAATGCAGACTTGGGAGTCTCAGGATAAACTGGAGCCATCATATAGAATAGGTTCAGAATAAAGGACATCAGAGAACAGTAGCTCCAATTCCTGCAGCCCAGCCTGCTCTCTCAGCCTGCTATCCCAGCCTGCTGTCCCAGCCCACTGTCCCAGCCCACTGTCCCAGCCTGCTCTCCCAGCCCACTGTCCCAGCCCGCTGTCCCAGCCTGCTCTCCCAGCCTGCTCTCCCAGCCCGCTGTCCCAGCCTGCTCTCCCAGCCCGCTCTCCCAGCCTGCTCTCCCAGCCCACTGTCCCAGCCCGCTCTCCCAGCCCACTCTCCCAGCCCACTCTCCCAGCCTGCCTTACCAGCATGCCCCCCCCGTCCTGAGTTGGAGATTGCTACAGGCTCCTCTGTGTCGCTGGGGTCGTCCGAGTCCTCACTGCTGATGACTGCACAAAGGACCAAAATCCCTTCAGAGTCTCGGGGAGCCCAGCAGCAGCCCACACAGCCAGGCGCCCCACAACAAGAGCACGAGGAAGACCTGGGAACTAGGGGCTCTCTGCATGTGTGTGGCCTGGGGGTTATTCCAGGGCTAACCCAAACGACAAAACCGACACCTGAGGCAGCTTTTCCCAGCCAGGACCCTCTGACCTCCACCTCTGCTCCACCTCTTCCCTTTCCTCTGGGCTCTGGCCACCACCCCGGCTTCTGCCTCTGTTTCTGGCAATGGCTCCTCTTTGTAACTCTTTGTCTTGATCTGTTCTTTCTCCATCTCCTCTTGAGAATATCCTGGTTCCCCATTTTTCCCCTCTCATCTTTAGTTCCCACTGCTTTCCTTTTCCTCCTTCTTCAGGGAGGGAGAGCCTCTGCCCTCGGCACTGCCCACAGCTCCATGTCTCTGCTGCCTCCCCAGGTATTGCCTGGGCAGTGCCCGGCTCCCCAGACTAGCTGCCCACTTGAAGTCCCTCCAACATGGCAGACACTGACAACAAAGAACATTCTGAACTTGATCATGGTTTGGATGATGTTGAAGAAGTAGAAGAAACTGGAGAAGAAACAAAAATCAAAGTGCACCAGCTGACTTGGTTCAGATGATACAAAATCCTCAGATTCTTGCAGCTCTTCAAGAAAGACTCGAGGGTCGGGTAGAAACACCAACGGGGTACATTGAAAGGTGGCCTAGGGTGGTTAAGAGAGGAGTGAATCCTCTCAGACCCTCAAGTTAAATGTGCGCAGATGGAAGCCAAATTCCATGAGGAAGTTCATGATCTTGAAGGGAAGATGCTGTTCTCTGTCAGCCTCTATTTGCTAAGTGATTTGAGATCATGAATGGAATTTATGAACCTCCAGAAGAAGAATGGGAATGGAAACCAGATGAAGAAGAGGAAATTTCAGAGGAGCTGAAAGAAAAGGCCAAGAGAGACGACGAGAAAAAAGATGAAGAAAAAGAAGACCCCAAAGGAATTCCTGAATTTTGTTTGACTGTTTTTTTAAGAATGCTGACTTGCTCAGTGACCTGGTTCAGGCACCTGATGTACCTATTCTGAAACACTTGAAAGACATTAAAGTGAAGTTCTCAGAGGCCAGCCAGCCTATGAGTTTTATCTTAGAATTTCACTTTGAACTCAATGAATATTTCACAAATGACGTGTTCACAAAGACATCTAGGATGAGGCCAGAGTCAGACAATTCTGATCCCTTTTCTTTTGAAGGTCTAGAAGTTATGGGTTGTACAGGGTTCTAGATAGATGGGAATGAAAAGGAAAGAATGTCACTTTGAAAACTATTAAGAAGCAGAAACATAAGGACATGGGACAGTTCATAGTGTGACTAAAATAGTGATTCTTTCTTTACTTTTTTTGCCCCTCCTGAAGTTCCTGACAGTGGAGAGCTGGATGATGATGTCGAAGCTATTCTTGCTGCAGACTTTGAAACTGGTCACTTTTTATGTGAGCATATAATCCCAAGATCAGTGTTCTGCTTCACTGAAGAAGCTATTGAAGAAGAAGAAGGAGGAGGAGGAGGAGGAGGAGGAGGAGGAGAAGAAGAAGGTGAAGAAGCAGATGAGAATTATCAGCTCTCTGAAGAAGTCAAATGCTGCAGTAAGCTTTTTCAACGTTGGCTGCAGTAAATCTTTTTGATAAAAGCTGTCTGCATGTCTCGGATTGTGTTGGGAAATTTTTCTTAATAAAAGTGTTCAAATTAAGTTGTATTATCAGCAAACTCTCTAATCATGAAAATCTGTTGACCCATAGAATAACGTGTATTAAATTTTCCCTACATTATGAGCCAATTTTTCCTACCATGTACCTACTTCATGGATGCATTTTGAAATTTAACATAGGGAAGGGAAGAGGAAGGAAATGAAGAAAATGATCCAGACTATGACTTGAAGGATCAAAACCCAGCAGAATTCAAGCAACAGTGAGGCAGGATGTACGTGGCCTTGAGGATTTTGTATTTTTTTGGTAGATTCAGTAATTTTTTTTTTTAAAGAAAGGAATTGAAATTTTCAAGACAGATTTGTTCTCCCTAGCATTTTAACTATGGTTTTTCTGTTGAATGCACAAATTCTCTCATGCATGTTCATTCATTGCTGTAGTTTGATTCTATCATGTAGTTATTGGAGTACAACTATAAAAATTAACAACTGTTAAACTGAACTAATGTTTTTTATACTTTTATTTTACTTATTTATTTTTATGTAGTGTTGAGGATCGAACCCAGTGTCTCACACATGTTAGGCGAGTGCTCTACCACTGAGCCACGACCCCAGCCCCCAAACTAAATGTTTTTGTTTGCTAATTTTTTTTTTTGAAAAACAAAAGTAGTTTTCAATTGGTAGTAGAGTGAGTTTAAGTCTGCTTGCATAGTTGTGCTTTTAGCTTATTTGTTATAGAAATGCAGTGATTTTTTTTACTAACATAACTCATCATTTGAGGGGAAAAAATACTCCATAACTAACATGGTTAAGAATTTGCAGTCAGACCAAACCCGATAAATGTTAGTATTAATGGGATATAGTCAATTATAAGGAAGTCTGACTCATAATATGGTTATTGGTTACCCCAGTAAGGTGAATAAAACAATTGGTTATTAACCTGATAGAAGTGTACTTGTAAACTTAACCTCCATTAACTAAGTATCTTTTCTTTGTGGTAGGGTCTACCTTCTGCTTTCCCAAAAAGGATGAATTTATAACATTCGATGAGCCTATTTCAAGTTTTTGTTGTTTGTTTTCTTGGTTTTTATTTTTGCAGTTTAAAATAAAAATGTCAAATGCAATTTTAGTTTTCAAAAAGAAAAGAATAGAAAAAGGAAAAGAAACAATCCCTCTGACATCAGTTCTCATTATTACCACCATTTCTGCCAGTATTTTCCCAGACCCTAAGGACCTCTGTTAAGCTAACTTGCTTCAGCTTACCCAGGTGCTGGCCTGCTCCAGAGGCTACCCGGACTGCCTTCATGACTGCGGAGCCCTTTACCTGGGAACCTGTTCCCTGGAAACAGTCACAGATCCTTTCAGTCAGCCTTACCTATTACTTCGGATGGCTGGTAATGGTTGGTCCTGGTTTGGGATCCTGGCTTCACTTGCGTGGGAAAAAATGGCTTTTCCTTCTTTATATCCACCAGACGCACAGAACAGGAAGTCATGTGGATTCCATGGCTGGAGAGCTCTGCTCCTGGGCCAAATTGTAATGAATAAAGAATTTTCCTTCTCCTCCCCCATTGACAAACATGCCATTGATAACAATCTCTTTCTGAAACTGCATGGTTGAGATGCCCGTCCTCTATTTCCTGCTGCTTAGTTCTGTCCCTCCCTTTGTACCTCTCTTTGATGGTGTTTTGTTTTTAACCTATTTTTTCCCCATTTTTTGGGGGGGTAAATAACATTTTTTTACCTTTATAAAAAATAAAAATTATAATTGCAGTACATATATTAGTGGGTTTTGAATGATTACGAAGTATGTCTCTTTGGACAAGACACAGAAGGCTAACACCCCAGAAGCCCCTTAGGACATCTCCCACTAATTGCCCCCACCATCTTTCTCAAAGTCAACAGCCTTCCTGATTTCCAATACTCCCATTAGTTTTGCCTCTTAAGTAATTTAATTTTATATAAACAGAATCATGCTCTTCTTACTCACTCTCTCATATATATCCCTGAAGAAGCCAAATAGCCCCAAATTCATCTATATATGTGTATGTGTGTGCATATTTATATATATACATGTTACATATTTATATAACATGTTTGTGAGAATCATCCATATTCATTTTTGTATAATTATATAATTATTCTTGTTGCACATGGTATCGTATTCCACCATAGAAACAAGCTGACATGTGTTTCTCCTTTTGTGCTATTTCAAGTGTCTGGCTTTATGAATCCTGCTGTGGACATTGTCTTTTGATGAACACAGTATACATTTCTGGTAGTTTCTGCTGAGAAATGCAGTTTGAATTCTAGAGTGCATATTTCCAACTTTAACAGATGACACCAAACTGTTTTCTAAAAGCACATGTAAAGGCAGATATGTAAGAGAAAGAACTTGGCAAATTCAAGTAACTGAAGAAAGTTTGGTGAGGGAGGCATTAGAGGGTTAGAGGCAGGTGAAGGGGGTAGGCAGCACACAGGCCTCTTTCAGGATGTGTCACACCAGGCAGCACTGACCTAATTCAGGACCACAGGAAGGCACTGGGTTCTAAACAGGAGAGCCATGGGAACTGGTTTGCATTTTTGAAAGTTCCATTTTTAGTGTAAGTTCGGACAATGCATTTGAGGGGAGCAAGGTTGTAGAGACAAAACCAAACCAAACCAAAACCAAAACAAACCAAACCAAAACCAAACCAAACCAAACCCTAACCCAAACCAAACCAAACCAAACCAAACCAAACCAAACCAAACCAAACCAAACCAAACCCAAACCCAAACCCAACCCAAACCCAAACCCAACCCAAACCAAACCAAACCAAAACAAACCCAAAACAAAGCAAACAAAGCAAAAACACTGCTCCTCCTGTTCTGAGAGCCAGAGGGATCCAGATCGGGATGATCGTGCTGAGGATGCAGAGAAAAGGAACCATTGGAGATATTTAAAATCAGAATTGAAGGAAGTGGTAAATACAGTGGTGGCTGCTTTACACCAGTAAGTCTGGGGTGGTTTGCACATTACACTGCCATAGATAATGGTGACAACCTCAAAAATAGAAAAATCCTTCAGATCTTTGAAGATTTTCAGACACTTTGAAAAATGAGACAAACAACAGGTCTGGGTAGGAAATGTGTGTTTAGGAATCAAGAGAATCTACATGGTGACTGAGCCTTGGAGAGGCAGGATGCCCGAGGGAAGGAGAAAAATGGGACATTTTGGTAAAGGACACCTTACCCTTCTCAGGGTTGTGCCTTTTATCCTCAGATCAAACAGTGTCTTGATTTGTCCTCTGTCCCTTGTTGGACACAGCCCCTCTCTACTAGTTTTTCACCCACTGCGTTTTAACTCGTTTTCTACACGACTTTTCATGTCCCACCCCCATATTTTTGTCCTATTTCTTGATACTTCTCGATCCTTTGCATCTTTCTACTCTTATTCTCTATGTTTTTTTCTTTAAAAAATAAGAAACACACACACACACACACACACACACACACACACACACCCCAGGACTAGGTGAGGCAGAGGTGGTACTGTGGACGCGGAGAGAAGGAACCCTGAGGCCCAGGTGCTCAGAGGGAGATCTCCTTACACTCTGTGCCTGGGGTTCCCCCTGCTGTACCTGGCCTCGGCCCTGCTGTCCCCTGCTGATCCATCTGTTACGTTTTTACCTGCTCCTCATCTGCTTTTTAAATTTAATTATCAGTGTGACTCCTAACTCTCGTATGTCACTTTTAGTCTTTCTCTACTAGCTCACTTCAACCTCTCCAGTCCTCACCAAAGTCTCCAGTGCCACGCCCACTGAAGTTCTTCCACCTGTGGTTTCCTCCTGAGGGCCTTCCCCTGCCTGGGCTTCCTTCCTTGCAAATATTATAGGAAACGTTATGCATGATTTCCACGCTTCCATTTAACCTTTGAAATAAGTTGCAGCATATTTGTTTTAATCGACCATGTGACATGGAAATGTTTGGATTCCATGTCAATTTATCCAAAATCTGCCTCATTCATGTCCTATGTTATTTACTGATCTTTAGTTGACCTTTCCCATACGTTCGCTCCTTGTTTTCTCTACCCAAGGACACACACCACCTCCATGAAAGAGCACAGACAGCCCTCTCTCCCTTGCCTTTCACAGCTCTTGAAAACCACCAGAGGGTGTGCACAAAGGCCTCGTCTGGGCGGGAGGGCAGGCGGTTAGTGGGACCACCAAGCAGAATTGTTGCTCTCACAGAAAAGTGAAGACATAATTAGAAAATTGGGGAGGGCAGAGCAAGTTGGTGGAATAGGACTCTCCATTGTTCATCCCCCCACAGAAACACCAATCTGAACAACTGTGTGTGCGAAAAAACCTTCACAAGAGCGGTGGGAACCAGGTGAGAGATCACAGCATCTAGGTGAGGCAAAAAAATTAAGAACCAGACTTTGTCTTATATTCCAACACTGGGTCTTGCCCAGCAAAACTCAGTGCTGAGCAGGCCCAGATGACTGCAGATTCCAGCCCGTTCCTGTGGTCTGAGCCTTCAAGCCTGCCCAACCCCAGGCTGAGTCCCACAGTCCCAGGATCATGACCAGTCCTGTGAATTTGGTCCCAGGTGACTCCATACGGGGTCAGCCTCAGCAGTCCCACACTTCAGACCAGGTCCATTCCAGATCAGCCCCAGGGCATCAAGACAAAGGCCCACCCCAGCACCTGGACAGCCCAGTGGTACCAGGCTCCTGGCTTCCACCCTAGTCCCCCAAGAGCTCTGCGATCTCTGAGTCAAGGTCCACCCTGGCACAGGACGACCCACTCGCTGTCCTAGGCACTGGGCCAGCAAGCCTGTCCTTGGACCACACCAGATGGCCTGCCACCGATCTCTGGCTCAGCAGACTGGCAAAGGCTTTCTAGGACAACACCAGTTTTCGGGGACTGGTTCCAGCCCCCACTTCCTCAAATGTACAGACAGGAAGACAATAATTGACCAAAGTGAGAATTTTAACAGAGGTTGAAATTATAATACAAAACAAAACAAAAACGATAGAAAAACAACTAAAACAGAAATTCTGATGCTGAAAATATAATGAATTAAGGGGCTTGGGTTGTGGCTCAGAGATAGAGCGCTTGCCTATCATGCATGAGGCACTGGGTTTGATACTCAGCACCACATAAAAAGACAAAATAAAGATAATATGTCCTCTTATAAGTAAAAAATAAATAAAAAAAGAAAATACAATGAATGCAATAAAAAAATGCAACTGAAAGTCAACAGCAGAATTGATCAAGCCAAAGAAATAATCTGTGAATTTGAAAACAGGTTACTTGACCACACATAGGCAGAGGAGAAAAATTAAAAGGAGTGAGGAAAACTTACAGCTTTTTGAGACATTTCAAAAGAGTAAATTTTAGAGTCATAGTGGTCTGTAGAGGAGCAGAGAAAAACAAAGAGGTAGAAATCTTATTTGAAGAAATAATAGCAGAATATGTTCCCAATTTTGGAAAAGATACAAATTTCCAGGTATAGGAAAGTCAAAGGACTCCAATCAGACTCAATCCAAACCAAACTACACCAAGACACACCATAACAAATAAGGAGACCGAATTCATGATCAAAATGGAAGTTATACCATTGTTGTAAATAAAGGCCACACAGGACAAACACAGCAAGCATCAGACAGTGAAAAGTTGGAAGGTTTCCTTTTAAGATCAGGAACAAGAAAAGAATGCCCACGTGTACCACGTCTACCCAACACAGATTTACAAATGGCCAGTAAGTGTATGCAAAGGTGAACATCACAGTTCATCAGGGAATTACAAATAAAACCACAATGAAATATCAACTCATACCTGTCAGAATGGTTATTATCAAAAAGACAAAAGATAGCGAGCGTTGGTGTGAAAGGAGAGAGAAGGGAATCTTTGCACATTGTTGCCGGGAATGTAAATTAGTATACCTTATGGGAAACTGAATGGAGGTTCCACAAAAAATTCAAGAAGAGCTACCATACCATCTGACAATCTCCCCACTGGGTACATATCCAAAGGAATTAAAATCAGTGTGTCAAAGAGATATCTAAACTCCCACGCTTATTACACAGCATTATTGACAAATCTGAAATCAACCTAAATACCTAACAGCAGACCATGAAAATGGAATATACATGCAAAATACCTGCCTTAGAAAAGAAGAAAAAAATCCTGTCATTCACAACAACATGAGTGAACCAGGAAAGTAACATGTTAAGTGAAATAAGCCAGACACAGAAAAAGTCCCATGGCATGATCTCACTTATATGTGGAGTGTGAAAGTATTAATCATGATCATAGAAGCAGAGGGGGTAATGGTATCTATCAGCAGCTGCTGGGAGAGAGGAAGGGGTTAGAGAAGATGTGGGATATAAGATTTCTATTAGGAGGAATAAGTTCAAGAGATCTACTGTATAACATGGTGACTATAGTTGATAATAGTATTGTATTCTTAAAATTGCTGAGGTCATGGATTTTAAGTGTTCTCACCATAAAAATTATAAATACGTAAAATAAAACATGTCAATTTTAGCTCAATTAGTCATTTCTATCTATGATTGTATCTAATATGTATATGTTTTCATCATATTGTACATAATACCTATAAATCATACAAAATATATATTATTACACATTGTACATAATAAATATATATAAATATAAACATATGATGTAAATCAGCTTTAAAATGATTAAGGTGGTTAAAAAGGCAACTGATAACCCCACAAACATGGAGGATCTGGGGAAAAACAACAGGGTAAGGTAAGTGACACTTACTTTCTACACAGTGGGGCAACGGGCTGGGCGTCCCCACGCTCGCCTCTCCACCGTCCACGTGGGCAGCCGTGTGTTGACGGGACTCTGAAGTTTAAAAAAGACCCTGGTTGAGACCCAGTAGAACTTCGCTGTGCTCTGTGTGCATTTTGTTCTATTTCGCTCTGTCTCTCCTTCCTTCCCACATTTCTCTCTGTAGCCCTGTTTGCATTTATTGCCACCTTTAGTTGTGAAGGTGTCTGTGCTTCACTGATTCTGTGGCCAACCCCTCTCTGACTTCTTTTGCCTTTATAAAAATATATATATTTATTTTTTAGTTGCAGTTGGATGCAATACCTTTATTTTATTTATTTATTTATTTATTTTATGTGGTGCTGATGGATTGAACTCAGGGCCTTGCATGTGCTAGGCGAGCACTCTACTGCTGAGCCCCAACCCCAGCCCTTCTTTTGCCTTTTATTTCTCTAGGGCCTCTTAGCCCCCCCACCCCACACACACTCACACAAAGGAAGTGAGTCAGCCTTACCTACTGGCTCTGACTCTCGAGGGCTTTGCTCATTTCCTTGGTGGCTTCCTACTGCACCATTTGGGTCTGGGGCCGGCTCTCTTTTATTCACATTTCTCTCTTCTGCTTCGCAAGGGTGCGCCGAGAGTTCGTTTTCGGGTAGGTCTGTACCTAAACCACATTTTAATTCATAGATATTTTATTCGCCCCTTGCATCAATCAGGATCAAATAGGAAAATACAAGTCACTGGAAGATCTTGAGGCAGAGAGAATTTAACCCAGTTGAGAGAAGAGCTGAGCGCTCCAAAGGGAAGATGCAGCAAGCAGAGGCGTCAACAGGAGGCTGGAGGGGACTGAAGGTTGCCCACTCTAGGCTGGTGAGCAGAAGCCGGGACCCAGGCTGGCCCGCGTGGTGGAAGGTGGAGAGAGCCGTGGGGAGGAGCAGCTACCAACTCAGCGGCTCCCCCGTGTCGTGGTGGGGCTACGCTTCCTCCAACTGTGCAAACTTTTTCTAATGTCTCTCACGCTGGAATCCAGGAGAGTTGGCAATAAATAAATAAATAGCAGAGGTCAGAAGCTACAGGTAGAGGGAAGAGTGGAGCAGGAGGGCAAAGAATGAAACCCAAGCACACCAACCCGGGGTGGGAACAACTCCTCCCCCTGGTGAACTTCCCTGGCCCATTGCTGACTTCCACGACCCACACCATTCTGATTCCAGGAACCTCGATAGTCTGCGAGTGGACAAGTGTATTTTTTTGCAGTTGCATTTTTTTTTTTCCATTTAGTGCTCTTTTTCTAAACAAAGTGGGTCATGGAAAAATTATTTTAAAAGTTTTTACAGACGTGTTAATGTGGAACTTAGAGCAGGTGCATGTTTTGTGCCACCATCCAAAGCTCCTAGGAACTGCTTCTTCGTGTTGTGGGCGTGAGACCCGGCCTTTATCCCCCTGTGCATGCCGCAGGCAGTGTCCTCCTGGCTCACTGGTGGACACACTCGTGGATGACTTATTGTGCTGTCTGGGCATCATTTGGGTTTCAGGTTGAAAATTCTCTTCATATTCATCTGGTTCTCATCACTGAGGGGTTCTAAGATTCTAGCCCCAGGTAGGGTTGCCTCACACCACAGGGAGATTCATGAAGAATTAACTGGTCTCTCCCACAAGCTCACTGCCCCTACCAAATCCCTTCTCTGCTGGTTATTAGTCACCTTTCCATCCATTCATTCCTTCCTGCTTCCACTATCTGCACTGGTAGATGGACAATTAAGAACTTGGCACATGCATGTTGTATTTTTTTTTAATAATTTTTTGAATAAAAGTAATTTCTCAAAGTATAATTATGCTTTTAAAAGTCACTCTGAAAGTATTCTGTAACAATGTATTTCTGATTTAAAAAATCTTTTCTTAAATAACATCCTCCTTGATGGGCATTCCCTGGAGACTCGTTTCCAAAGAAGAGTCATGGAATAAAGACATAAAAGTTATTCCTCACACACGAGTGTACTTTAGAGGTGGGGAGTCTCAGTTTAATTTCCTGCTCTGAGGTTGGTATTGCTTTGTTCATCATTTCTCCTGGTTGAGAAATAATTAGATCCACAACAGACATTCATGTCAGACATATAGATAGAGAGTATATCAAAATTTACTGTCATGGTTGGCCAGGCACAGAGGTACACACCTGTAATCCCAGCAGCTTGGGAGGCTGAGGCAGAAGGATTGAGAGTTCAAAGACAGCCTCAGCAATGGCGAGGTGCTAAGCAACTCATTGAGACCCTAGGTCTAAATAAAATACAAGATAGAGCTGGGATGTGGCTGAGTGGTTGAGTGGCACTCCCTCCCCTCAAAAAAATTATTGTCATGATTAAAAGGTTAGACTCTGGAGGCAGGTACAAATAGCAATGGTAATTAAATTAGTAATGATGACAAAGTCATGTAACATAGATGAAGTTCCAGGCACGATTGTGAAAGCTTTCATTGGTACAACTTGTTTAGATACATCAACCCCGACAGGGTATATACTACTAAGTGATAAAAGGGGGAGGTTTGTTGTCCAAGATTGCAGAGGCAGGATTCGAACCCAGGCAGCAGAGCACCAATATTCCTGCTCTGACCCTATTTTATAGCAGAGTTCAATCCCAATTCTTAGTTGGGTGAAGCTACACATGAAAAATCAAACTCTTTAAACCAACTCTTTCTCCTCTGAGAAAGAGGGTGATAAAACATCATTTTAAAGTATTTGAGAAGATAAATAAAATATTACCTGTATCAATATATGCCATATTGTAACTGATCAGAAAAAATAAAGTCATCATAATTACTATCTTAAATGTATATTATTTTGAATAATTGGATGATATATTATTAAGAGCATTTTGGATTACAGGAAGGTCAAGAGTTGTTAAAGTACCAAATGGTTTTTCCAAGAGACCCACCTGGTGTCTGAGCCCCAGGGATGGTGAGCGAAGGTGTCCTGTGAGAGGCACCCTGGTGCTATGGTCTCATGTGTTGGACCCAAGAGGGATGACATTTTCCCCACAGAAAAAGCAGGCTCATTGCACCCCTCCAGCCGCACAACACGGGCCCCCACTGGACATGCGCTCAAAGGCACCAGACAGATTTAAGCAAGGCAGGAAACTGAAGCCAGGGGCTCGGGACAAGTGCCCAGACCCAGAGCTGGCACCAGGACTGGCAGCAAGTGCATGCAAGGGGTAGGGAAGAAGAATCCCTCCCAGGCAACCCCGAGGGCCTTTAACTAAAGATCTCTGCTATTTAATTTCCAAACTTGGAGAAGCTACAGATGCAAAGGTTGAAAGTTCTGGGCAATCAGTCACGCAAGGAAGCAGCCTCACAGAACATTCCAGAATGGAGTAAGACAGCAAAGGGTCCCACAAGAGGCAACAGCAACAGACCATTGTAAGACGAGGGATCTAAGTGCTGTGGCCAGGTCAGTCTTCGCAGAAAAGAGTTCTCTCCCGTTCCTAGGGGAAGAAATTGGAAGTTGATCTCAGAAACTGAAGGATGGGTTTTGCCCTTTTTGTCTTTACAATGCAGATGGTAGAGACCCCTCAGAGTGTGAATCCAGACTCACCTGGAGCTGGAAGTTCCCTCCTGACTTCAGTCTCAAGAGTGGGGTCTGGGTCAGCTGCAGCCCTGTCTGAGGGTCTCACTGGGCCCCCTCACTAGGGTCCTCTGTGAGGCACTCTGGCACCTGGAGATGGCCTGCTTTTGTCCCCAGCTGGCCTGCCCCTTGGCCCTACCTGAGTTCCTAGAAGCCCTGGCCGCCTGGTTCCCGCTGTCCCACACCACAGCCTCCTGGCACAGCCTGTGCCTCCTCCTTGGTGGCCTCCAGTGAGGATCAGCGACTGGTCTGCCTCCTCCTTGGTGGCCTCCAGTGGGGATCAGCGACTGGTCTGCCTCCTCCTTGGTGACCTCCAGTGAGGATCAGCGACTGATCTACCTCACTCCTCCCTCTCCCGACATCCTCGGTTTCCTTTATCTTTCTGTCTGCATCTCTTCCGTACTTTGGTTTCATGTTTCTGCCTTTTTCATTAGACAACCCGGGCAGCAGCATGGGGCTAAGAATCCTTTTCCCTTGCTCCTTTGACCCCGGGCAAACTCCATATGTGGCTTCTAGATTTCAATTTCCTCCTCTATAACAAGGGCTAACCTTTTAGTGATGACCATCTCTAATTACAACAGGACCTTAGAGGCTGCTTTTGCTAAAAGCCCTGACTCTTCTCTTGGACTTGCAGATGCCCAACAGGTAACTAAAAGCAGGATGAAAAGGTGGCGTCCGTGCCTTCATTTTGTCTCTCTCTCCTCCTGCTCAGCTCTGCATACAAGCATGACAATCATTTCAGGAGTGTTCAACTAAAGCTGGCCTTTCTCTTTGCAGCTGAAGGCACCAAGGTAAGACTAATTCAGGTATTTTCAAAACTTGAAAGGACATTATAATTAACAGATTGGCAACTGCCGGCTTTTACAACATTCTCTTCTCTACTGCCAGAGCCAGGCCTAGAACTTTCCAGTCATTGCCCTAAACCTCCCAGAAATAGCGAGTCTTGTAGGCACAAGGAGGCTGCCCCCTGCCCCAACTAGGAGCAATGAACCCTGGACTAGAATGGCAGCTGCTCTCTAAGCAGCAGCAATCATCTTTGGATGGGAACTGAATTGTCCCCCTGAGAAGGATGACTTCCTCAGAGAGCCACAGAACCAGTCCTGATATGACGACCCACCAGGCCAGGACCAGGATGGGCGGCCTTACCAGCTCTGTACGCTCTCCAGCAGCGCAAACCCCTAAACCCCGCTCTGACACCTCGACGTTCTTACCAGCCCCTGGGAGTCAGGTCTCACCTCACGAGATCTTCCCTGCTCTGCCCAGCAAGGCCACACCGATTACGGCCCTTTCCCTGTCCTCACCACACTCCTCTCTCTGACCAACATCTTGGGTTGGGTGACTGAGCCTAGTCCTTTGGGGCCCCCAGAGCCAGGGCCTTTGCCCTAATTACAATAACACGATGCAGCCTGGGCACTAATCATCACAGCAGAGGGTGGACGTTCGAGGTGAGCGGCTAAGGACACGGAGCTTTCTATTTTTCATTATTGCCCTTTGCCCCCTTCGTCCTCTAGTGCCCCTCCTCTTCCTGCCTTCTCAAGGCCCCTAAGCTCTTCACATCTTGGCCGCCTCCTCTCTGTGTCTACGTCTGTTTTCCTCCCGGGACAGTCCTGCTCTTGGACAGCAGTCACTGTATTGAAACCAGCCCGGCCTTCTGCCGTCGTGAAGGGTGACGCTGAGATAGAATGAGAAACAGATGGCCACAGCGCCCGGAACCCCTTGTCATGTCCTAAGTGATGAAGTTGGAAAGAGCGTTTTTGTTATTCACCACCAGTCCCTTTCGTTGACACCTGAGTTTATGCTAAAGAGGTGAGTTTTGGAATGTTCCTAAGGATGGAAGGAACTGACAGTGCTTGGAAGGTTGAAGGCTCTGACCTCCAGGGAGGGGAGAGGGGATAAAGTTGACTTCTATCAGTGGTCAATGATTTCATCCCTCGTGCCTGTCAGTATCGTGGGTTTTCTAGAAGGAAAAAGAAGATCCCTCATGACAGGGTTCAGAGAACTTGAGGATTGGCCAACACAGCCGTGCTGGGAGAGTGCGGTGCCAAGGCTGGGCACGTGAGCTCTCTGCCCCTCTCCATTACTGTGCTCTGTATATCTCTTCCGTTTGTCTGAGTTGTACCCTTTCAACAAATGGGTGAACATCAGTAAAAACTTCCCTGAGTTCTGTGATCCATAGTAACAAACCATCCAACCCAAGGAGGGGTTGTGAGGCCTCCAATTTACAGTCAGTTGGTCAGAAACAGAGGTCACACCCTGGAACTTGCAAGTGACAAGTGGGATGGTCTTATGGAGCATGGTCCTCCACCTGTGGGCTGTGTGAACTATAGGACACCCCATGGCTGTCTGCAGAGAACTCGAGTTTGGTTGGTGTAAGGAGAACTTCCACCCCGCAGGTGTTGAGTGCTGTGGAAGGCACAGGTAGAACCATTGTTTTTCTTTTGCTAAGGGTCCTTCTCCTTCATGTTGTCCATGGGTCATTTTTCTTAGCCCTTCACAGCTTCATAGTAATCTTCTCCTGCGGGACTTTCCTAAATCACAATTACTTCCTGGTAGTCAGTCTCCTTAAATCTGTTTTCCTGGCCCACTGAGCTCTGGTTCCCTCCTCGTGGGTGCTGGGCTGGCTGTCTCTGGTCATGCTATTTCCCAGCATCCGACATCCTGCTGGGGCCAGTTAGGGCTGGGATTGTAATGATCCCCCAAGGCCTTATGGGAGCTAGTGGAGACTTTAAGAGGTGGGGCCTAATGGAAGGAAGTCAGTCCACTGGGACAATGTGCCCCTAGTCTCTCTTTGCTTTCTGGCTGCCATGAGTTGAGCACCTTTGCCCCACTTCTGCCATGATATTCTGCCTCACTACAGGCCCACGATGATGGGGTCAAGACACCGTGGACTGAAACCTCTGAAAACATGGACCACAATAAATCTTTCCTCCTTTAAGCTGATTTTTCTCACGTGTTTTGTCACAGTGACAGAAAGTCGACTAACACGAGGTCCATACAAATCACCCCTCCTTGCCATCCCCATGGTCCTTCCACATTTCTTCCCTGGTTCACAGTCTCTACTGCACGATGTCCTTGTTTCCTTTTCTTTTGAGCAGATGAGAAATGTTTTATCCAGGTGTAATTACCTTGTTCAAGCCTTTCCTGCCTCTCTTCTCCATTATCTTCTTGGGGATATAGCATTCTCACCTCTGGGAAGGAAAAGAAGGCAATTAGAGATCTCCGGCAGGGACCAGGTACACCATCTCAAAATTACACATTTAAGAATTTCCAGTCCCTCAGTTACGCAGAGTTCAGTGAATCCCACATGACACAGTTCACCTTCCCACCCTGGGACAAAACAGAGGAGACTCCCACAAAGGAGTCTATGCTTCCCACACACTAGGGAGATACTCAGCGGGAGGGGATACACTGTAAGCTGAGATACTCCTCTAAAAAATCTTCAGAGGGTAGCAAGGCAAATTTCAAAATAAATAATAGAAGTGAAATGCCTTTTCTGAACTGTTTGAACTGTAGGAATGAACTGTTGAGAGAGCCTGGGACCTTGGAGAGATCAGTGTATGAAAGGGGAAGTCCCAATGGCTTTAAAGATAGGGCCAGAAACAAGGGGGGCTTGGGCTGAAGAGGGTCAGGCAGGATGAATAGTTTCCAGAGGAGTATACAAGATATAGGGACAGATGGAGGGGACATCAGGGCCCATCAGGAGGTGGCAGCATGTCCCCTGAGGACAGCTGAGCTGGTTGTGCTGCGGGTGGGGGCAGTACTGCCACCCTGGCCATGAACTTTAGGCTTGGATCATCCAAGCACTGGGAGTGCTGGAAACAAACACAGGAGATGTGGGTGCTAAGGCCAGAGAAGGGGTGTCTGCAATCCAGAAAGAGGTCGAAGCCCCTGGGAAGTGGGCAGTGAAGGTAACACTGTTCCTCTTGTAGCTCCAGCCTGCCGGCCGTCCCATTATGAATAGAATAGTGACTTGCCATTGGTGCCCGGGTGTTCAATCTCCTTGGTGACCTGCTAGAGAAATTATTCTGTTCTTTATTATATAAGGTAACTAGGGACACACATCAACTAGCCATAGGTCCCTGCTTTTACATTTTCACCCTGGTTTATAAACCTGTCATATCTCTTATTGCCTAGGAAGTAAACTTCAACTTCTTGGCATTCAACCTTCGCAGCCTCCCTTGGATTTATCTCTCTAGAGTTGGTTCCTACATTGCTGCTCACTCTCAAATTCAGCCGAATCCAATTTGCCGGTTTCACAGACATACTTTTGCACACCTATTCCCTCTCCTCTTCGGGGATGTGTCTGTTTTACTTGTGATGTCTCTATCTTATATTTTGAGAACTTGGTTGAGACCAAACTGTTGGAATAAAAAAATTGTCTATGCAGGTACAAAACCAACCAAACAACAAAAAAATTGGGAGGCATCCTTTTTATTGCATACCAATAAAAGTATGAATCATGCCTTCTTGGAAAAAGTGAAGAATCAAATCTTTAGTTTTGCATAACACCAAAGAAATCCATGTTGATTATTTGATTAATATATGTTTTGCCCCTTTTGATTAGAGAGTTAACAAAACCATTTCTTATTCCTTTAGGACAGTTTGACCCAGGATTACCTTTCTAACTCATTACTCTGGAAACCTAATAAAAAGTGGCCTTTTAGCTGGGCTACTAGGCAAACACTGGGCTTTAGAGTTAAAAATGACCCATGACTAGTTGCCTGAGAGGGACTACTAATTCCTGTAGAAAGCTACAACATTATGAAGGTCTTCGTCCAATGGTGATTCATTATTTGGCTTGTCCCCTGTGGGCTACCTGAAAACCAGGACTTTGGAATTCCAAGAGGCCTTGATTCCATGGGCATGTGGTGCTAACTCAGGGTGGACCCTGCACCCAGAGCTAAGCAGTCGCTCAAGGTGGGTAGCGGTGAACTTGGTGGACTTCTATGTAGACCACTGAAAGGTTTCCCACTGAAGAGACAGGGTCATGCATCCCTCTTGGGACTTTGTTTCTAGTTCTATGCTTTTTAAAGTAAACCTGGCACCAATATGACTCTGGTTGAATTGAGTCTAAAAACCCAGCTGAACAGACGTCCAGTGGTGCTTGCTGAACAGCCATTCTGTCATTAGCACCTGACACGTCTGACTTATTAGCGACCATAGCCCATGGCACGTGGCCTTTTTGCATGTGGTGGAAGCTTCAGATATGCTTGTTGAAAAAGAAAATTGACCCTGGACCTCAAAATGTGGCAATATATCTAATTACCATGTTCGAAGCTTCTGCGAACACGAATTAAATCAGGGTATTCCTGCAGGTTGACCTCACTGAACAATGCCTCGCATAAATCCAGGTTGAACTTCTTCTCCAGTTCACAGAGAACATTGTACACCACTCTTTGTACAGGGACCAGGTTTCTACAAGACTCTTGAGAATCCTTTAAAAAGAAGTGAATGGAAAAATTTAAATAGAGACTTCTACGTTACAAAAGAATGCTAGAAAGTAATTTTATAGTTAATGCATTTCAGTTTCTCTACATAGGTATCATCTCACGTAAAGCTTCAGAACTTTTGTACATTCGGATAGCTACTAAATGAAACAAGTAAATCCTGTCTCTTAAAAAAATATCCAATGGTAAGGCTGATCTCCTCATCCTTATTTTCATTTAATGTAAGAAAGAGCAAAGATGAAAGTGGGTTCAGAGTTAACTGACATGTAGCCCTCTAAAGAGCCAATGTGCTTTGGGAATAGACTTATCAGGTGATGAGGGCTGATCTACTGACGGGACAACCCCTGCACTTCCCCCAGCTCTGACTTGGCCTGAAGGGCTCAAGGAAATCAAGTGACCATTCCTCCTTACTATGAACTTGGCCACGAGAAAGCACATTCATAGGGGAAAATAAAGAGTCAGTGCTCTGTATCTCCATAATGACCAAAGGTTGATCCCAATTCCAAGACTCCAGAAGTACCCCCCCTTCAAAAGAAAAAGAAAAGAAAGCTTGTTAAAAGATGTTGCAGATATAACAGCAATCATCCACTCTTAAATTCATTCTAACAACACACCAATTGCCATTGGATTTTAATGTTCTTAGAGCTAAGTATTTTTAAGTTGATATTAGTTGAAATAAAATGTTGTGCTTACTGCTATTTCAACAAATCAATTCAATAAGATCATTTATCAATTCACTTCAATTATCTTAAATGTTTACTTTATGTTACATTGTGTGAATCATACTGCATGAAAGGTAAGCATCACTTAATGTGGGGCTTGTTTACCAGGTTGTGACACAATAAACTTCACTTACTTCATACATTTTATTGGTAATGAGTTCACGGTCACGGAGGCCCTCGAGGAAAGGAAATGTCTTTTTTATGGCATTTGAAATCTCCACTTTGTGTCTTTTGAAGTGATGGAATATAACCTCATAGATGGTACTGTCGTCTACACTCTGCTCTTCTGTGGACATCCTAAGGGAAAAGAATACCATGGGAAATCAAGATGCTGAAGTGCTTGTAGAGGACCTTATACATGAAGATCGGGCTATATATTTAATAGGTGGTCCGGAGCGAGTTATCCAGAGAGATGGGATGAAACAATGGAAGAAAGCACGGAGATGATGAAAGCCTTATCTAAAAGGCTTACAGAGTCCTTCCCTGATCAAAGCCTTTGCAAAGGAAGACTATTTCTGAAATAAAAACTTAAATTCGTGCAAAATTGAGATAAAGCAGGCCATCCATAGAGAAAGAAAATCAATGGAAGAAAAACAAAAGCTAGCCTTGAAAGTACATCTTAATTAACAACTAAAAGAGAATAAATCTCAGAAAAATAAAAACAAGATGTCCCCTCTTTGACTTATAGCTATTAAGAGATAAATATCATCCTATGCCACAAATCAATTCATAAATGTGTGACAATGATAGTAACCAAAGTGATGATAACAATATGGTAAGTGGGGAATTTCCAAGAATCTCAAAGCCATTTCCTGGGACATCAGGTTCCGCTTTGACTTACTACAAATCTGTCTCATGTGCTATTGTCATGAACACTGACTCTTCTTAGGCAACTTGAATCTCAGACATTATTCATTTCCTGTGAAAACAATTTGAACTCTGACTCTTTAATTCTGATTCATAGTTGATGATTTTATTGCTCTAATAATAGTGTTTTAATCAACTTCTCTGTGTTTCTAAATGTTATGAAAACCCAAAGCTTTCTTTGTCAAACCAGAAGAGACCTGTGCACACTTCCCAGAACCTAATGTGCAGCAGGGCATGGAAACACCAACTCCCCTTGTTTTAAATTCCTGTGAACAAAGTTTCTGGTTAGAGATCACAGGCTGAAGAGAACTATTCATCTTCTCATTTACTAAAGCTAAGATACTTAAATGATGAAGCATTACATTCATAACACAAAGAGAATGGCAGAGGATGATGAAAAACTTCTCAAGACCAAAACTAGACAGATGAGTGCTCATTGCTGTTGTGGTAGAAGATGCACCCAGAGCTCAAAAAGCAATCAGTGTGTCCCACGAGCCCCAAAGACGCAGTGGAGATTGCGAAGGAGTCATCGGGTGACGTGCTGTTGGAGAGATCAAAACAGAAGTGTATGCCTCACCCCTCAAACCATGAGCTGACCTCAGTCAGCGCTGCTTCCCAGGGACAAACGTTGCTGGAATTCCTATCACCACCTGCTAATTTTGCCCATTTGGGGTTTCCCATAAATGGAAAAGAACATTGTCTCTGCTTTAGTGTCTACTGTCGTTTAGCAGGAGTCTGTGTCTTTTTTCTTGTGGAATGATTTTCCATTGTGTGAATCGACCACAATCTGCTCATCCAACTTCCTGCTGATGGACATTTGGATCCATTCCAGTTTGAGTGTGGAATGGATAAAACTGCTGTTCTTGTACAAGTCTGTTTATGGCAAAATGTTTTCATTACCTAGGAAAGAGACTGTGGGTGATCGCTTAGGAATTTGTGCACTTTACAACTTTTCAAGCTGTTTTTCAAGGACTATTAGAAATAGACCCTCTAATGTTAGCCTTGCTCGTGGGTGTGATGTGGTTTCTCATTCTAGTTCTAATTCATATTTCTTTAGTGACTAATCATGTACAGTACATTTTCATGTGTTTTTTGGAAATTCATATATTTTCTTTTGTGAGGTGGTCCCACTTGTATTATTGGGTCATCTTTCACTTATCAATGCATAGGTATTTGCTTTTTATTTTGGATAGAAATATCTGTCTGAATTACGTATTGTGAAGATTCCCCTCATCTTTGGCTTGCTTTTCGTTTTCTTAACTATGATGTCCTTTGATGAGAAGAAATTCCTAATTTTGAAGAAGTCCAATCTATTCATATTTTTTATGGCTAATTAGTGTTCTGTGTAAGAAATCTGCCCATTACCAGGTCATAAAAACATTCAAAAAATCAATCTATAGTTTAAGCGTGTCTATTTCTAGATTTTCTACTCTGTACCATGGGTCTATCTGTCTTTTCTTATGCCAATGCCATTTTTGGTTTGAACACTGCAGCTTGAAGAAAGTCTTGAATTCAGCTATGAAGAACTGTCTTGACTTTTCCACACCTTTGTTTTCTATGTGTTATGGTTTGGATGTGAGGTGTGCCCCAACAGCTCCTGTGTTAATGCAGGAATGTTCAGAGGTGACATGGTTGGACTAATTAGTGACTGGGTGGTAGTGGTAGGCAGGTGGGGCGTGGCTGGAGGAGGTGGGTCACTGGAGGTGTGTTCTCCCCACTGCTTCCTGGTCCCATGAGCTGAGTGGCTTTGCTCTACCACCAGGCGTTCACCATGCCATTCTGTTCCACTTGGAGTCAACTGACCTTGGACAAAACCTATGAAACAATGAGCCCAAAATAAATTTTTTCTCCTCTATGTTGTTCTTGTCAGGTATTTTGGTCACAGTCACCAAAAGCTGACTAACACCCTAAGAATCTGTAGAATCCATTTGTCAGTGTCTGTAGGAAAAGCCCTTTGGATTTTTATTGGGTTTGCAGTGAGCCTATTAACATATTTTCGCGAATGACATCTTAACGATATTGAACCTCCAACCTGTTCCCACTATATGACTCTCCACTTATTTTTCCCAGCACTGTTTGGTTCCCAGCATAGAAGTCATGCACTTCTTTCATTAAATTATTTCTAGCTATTTTGTTCTTTTCAATGCTACTTTAAATGGTGTTAGTTTAAAATAATTTGTATTTTATGGAAACAGAATTGGTTAAAAATATTAGACATTTATTTATGACTTTGCTAAGTTCAGGTATTAGTTCTACTGAAGAACTTATAGATGTCCTTTGAATTTTTTAGAAAATAATGATGTCATCAGCAAATAAAAATGATTTTACTTCTTTTACAACAATTATTTCTTTTTCTTATCCTAATGTACTATTTATGCATTTAAATATAATGTGCAAGTTATGAAAGTGAACTTTTCTTTGTTGCTAATTTGAAGAAAAAGCATTTGTTATTGTCACTAAATATCTCTCTCTCTCTCTCTCTCTCTCTCTCTCTCTCTCTCACACACACACACACACACACACACACACACACAGTCATGCACCACATAGTGACATTCCATCAAAAATGAACTACACATACGACAGTGGTCCCATAATGTTGTACCACCTAGTGGACACTGAGCCCTCTTAGCCTGTGTAAGTACAGTATATTCTACAATTTTCACAACAAAATTGCTCAGTGATACATTTTGCAGAATGGATCCCCATTACTGAACCACGCATACATATACACATTTATAAAACTATAGTTGAAAAATGATGATGGTGAAAGGCACAAAATCAAAAAACTTGAATCCAAATAGAAGTCACAACCAAGTCAAGGAAATGTGAAATTTGTTAAAATGAAAGAGGAGCAAAGCTGTAGCATGCAACCACAAACAAAGCAAAAGGCAAGGGTGCACGTATCAGTGGCCGAGCAGAATTCAGAAAGCAGACCACTGGACCAATGTTTTATGGACATTGGAAAACAGTTCACCTCTCAATGTTTACTCTTCACACATGGAAAAAATGTACAAAATAAATAGACTCTATTAGTAAGAATGATTTATTACTTAATCTTGTGGTTTAATAACAGATAACCCATCATTGTTTCCAATATCCTTGAAATATACATATCAATACTGATCCTGATCTTAGCCACAAAAGAAGTCTCAATAAGTTATAATCAATAGGAGCTATACAGATTTCATATTAAATAAAATTAATTAACTTAAGATTTTATAAAAGAAAACACTATGTTAGGTCAAAGATGAAATTAAACTTGCAGTTAGAACTTCTTTAAAAGAATGAGAAAAATGCTGACAATGAGAATGAGTAAAGCAAAGATCCTGAAATAACTTTACAACAAACAGAAGAGAGAAGATGTATATGTACATCCTTAATGATTTTCAGAGGGACTCTGACAAGACTCGGGAGCTGTTTTTAGTAAAATATCTATACGAAATGAAATCAATCCAGTACAGATTCTCCTAAATCAGCAAGTATTATAGTAGATATTAAATGAAATAATTTAAACAGAAAAAAGATGGTGCTGCTTATCATTACCACCATTATTTTAAATATATTTTAGAAGTTTTAACTAACACATAGATATCAAAATGAAGCAATTTGCATAAGTAGTCAATTGCTATACAAACAACATTATGTGCCTTGTAATTATATTCATAGAAATCTAGTCAAAACCCATGAAACTGGAAAAAGCATTTGCCAAGGATCATGAATAAAAAATAGATCTATAAAACTTAGAGATTTTTTATTTGAGACAACATAAATGGAAAAGAAGCCATACTTCAGACACAATAGCAAATATACACATATTTATAAGTATCTGAAAGATTCGAGATCTACATGAAGAACACAATAGCTTATGGAAAAAAATGAAACGAGATCAAGTAACTGGAGATATAGAAAATGTTCCCAGTTAGGTGTGAACGTTCTTTTTCCAGTGCTGAGAATGGAACCCATGGCCTTGAACATCCTAGGCAGCACACTGAGCTGCCTCCCTAGTCGTAAATGAAATCATTTTAGAACACTTGTCCGCCTGAATGGGTGCTGTATTTGCAATCTGAAATTCAATAAAAACTGGGTAGAATAATATAACTAGTTTTATGACAGAAGAAGTATCTAAGTCAGACAAGAAAAATTTAAAAAATAGCTCGAGGAAGATTTTCCTTAATAAATTTAAATGTCTAAACCATATATGACAAGACATTGCAGTAAATATTTTCTACACTTTTGACAAAGAGTTAGTACATCTGATATATAAAGACATTGGTGTGTTAATAACAAACGGCAACTCAAAAGAAATGGATCTAAACAGAAATGGATCTAAACACAATAATTTATTGAAGCATAGTTTTAACAGCAACAACAACACTGACTCCCAAACCTGAAAACAACTTGATTGTCCATTCAACCAAATAGTTAAG